AGAGGGACCGGGCCTCAGCGTACTGGTCCTGTGACCCGTGCTCAAGCCGCTCGAGCGCGGGCACAGGAGGGGGCAGAGAGTGGCTGAGGCAACCGAAGGAGCTAAGGGACGAAGAGCATGAGGACTAAGGCAGATGATGAGGGTAGAGCTGTATCTCCGACAGCTGTCACCGAATATGCACGGTTGTGCATATAAGGTGCCATTATCATGGTGGTGTAGTGGAGGTGTAGCTATGTTGTGTTTGCAAATTCGAGGATAGGTAGGTGGGAGCTGGGAAATTGACGCGAAGTTGGTAGGAGAGCACCTTGGGTGAAATCCTTGCAACCAATGAGAACGAACCAACCCAGGCTCGAGCCGCACATTGAGAAATGCACGGTTCGAGCCAGGGTCAGGTAAGTTCACTCTCACACACACCTCTGATGCTTTCTGTTTGTTATCCTTTCGTATAGTGGACTGTTGTTACCTTACCAGAGCAGGCAGGTGGCACACCACTCAGGGAGGACCTTTGAGGTGAGAGTTCTGTCACTTTCATCAGAGAGTGGCTGAGGCAACCGAAGGAGCTAAGGGACGAAGAGCATGAGGACTAAGGCAGATGATGAGGGTAGAGCTGTATCTCCGACAGCTGCCGGTGCAGTTTGTCAGGACCGAGCCAAAAAGGGCCTACAGGGCAGATCCGAAGGAGGTGACAGCGAAGCAGGGGGCACAGAAGGCCGCAACAGGCAGGGACAAGGTGGGGAGCCCAGGATGCGTTTCATGGACGAACCTAGCCAGCAGACCGATTGGCAGCAACCCATTCGGCTGGTGGAGCTGTTCGGAGGAATCGGGGCGGGACTGGCAGCAGTGGTGCGAAATGGAATTGCAGTGAAGCAGTGGATTTACGTGGAGAAAGCACCAGAAGTGAGGAAAATAGCGGAGCATCAGGCGTGGGAGTTGCACAGAGAGTTCCCGGAGCTGCTGCAGGGAGAGGTGATCAAGGCAGCAATGAGCAGAGGAGTGAACGATGTAAGGGCCATTACGGAAGCTGAGGTAGCAAGCTGGGGGCACGTGGACCTGTTGGTGGCAGGGTGGGAATGCCAAGGGGTATCATGGGCAGGGAAGGGCAAGGGTGAGCAAGACCTACGAACACAACTGATGGAGGATCTGTTCAGAGTCATGGAGTGGGTGCAGGCGAGGCAAGGCAGAGTGGCTTACCTGCTGGAGCACTTGGATATGGAGGGAGACGTGAGAGAACCGATAAGACTAGTAAGGGAGAGAGTGACCAGACAGGTGGGGAAAGGAGTGAGCAGTGATGCGGCGCGGATGGGAGCATATGCGCACAGGCTCAAGATGTACTGGCAGAATGTGGTACCAGTAGAAGACCTGCAGAAGGAAATAGAAGGGGTGCAGAGAGCTGGGGGACGGAAGCTGAGCGACATATTGGAGCCAGGAAGAACGCCAGCACCAGTGACCAAGAAGGGCTACAGCAGGCATTATCCCTGCAACCAGGTGGGACAGGAAAGGCAGGCACTGCCTACCCTGGTGTCATATGAGGGGGCAGCAGGCTATCAGATGGATGGGAAGCAGCCAGGCCCAGGATTGGTGCATGACCACAGGAAGGGACAGTGGGAAGAGCCCACGGCCTTGGAGAGGGAGCTGGCCATGGGATACAAGGAGAACGCTACAGCAGCCCCAGGCGTGAGCGAGAAGGAACAGAGACGGGCATTGGGGAATGCCATGGATGGGTACATGATGAGGTGGTTGGTGCAGCGGATGTGGAAGGAGACAGTGCTGCACTGGGGACTGAAGGAGGGAGAAAACACAGTGGCGACGGTGAGGCAAGGGGTGTGGGCCTGCCTGCAGAAACAGGAGCCAGAGTGGAAGATAGGTGAGAGCATGAGCGAAGAAGGGAAGGCAGCGATGCGGGCACTGCTGGCAAGGCATCGGAAGGGCTTCGCCTTCACACTGCTGGAGTTGGGGAAGTGCAAGATCAAAGAGATGGCGCTGAAATTGAGTAGTGATGAGCCGGTGTTCCACCGCAGGAGGAAGATGCCACCAGGGGATGAAGTGACCTGTAGGGAGAAGATAAAGGAGTTACTGGAAGCCGGACTGATCAGGAGGTCAGAATCAGAATACGCTACCCCAACCGTGGTGGCAGCCAGGAATGACTTGACACGCGAGGTGCTGAGTAGGAGGATGTGCGGGGACTACAGGGATCTCAACAAAATTACAGTGCCAGATAGATACCCAATGCCGATGGCGGAAGAGCTCTTTGACAAGCTGGCTGACGGGGTGTTCTTCACGACGCTGGACCTGCGACAGGGGTTCAATCAAATCAAGATCAGAGAGGAGGATATGAAGAAAACGGCTTTCCACGGACCGGATGGGCTGTACGAGTGGCTTTACATGCCCTTCGGTCTGAGGAACGCCTCGGCGGTGTTTCAGAGAGTCATGGACGCGGTGCTGCGGGGAATAGAACACGCGGCGTGCTATATTGATGATGTCGTGATCTTCAGCTTGACCGAACAGCAGCACCTGGAGGACGTGGAGAGGACATTGACCGCCATAGAAGGGGCAGGGCTCACCTGCCATCCCAACAAGTGCAGGTGGGGGGAGCGGACAGTGCAGTATCTTGGGTATGAGGTCACAGGGGGGCAGATTGGTATCCAGCAAGCGAAGGTGCAAGTGCTGGACAGGCTGAGGGAACCAAGAGACAAGTCAGGGCTGCGGGCGGTCTTGGGCTTCCTCAGCTACTACAGGCGCTTCGTGCCGAACTTCAGCAAACGAGCGACAGTACTAAATGGGATGCTGCGGGAGGACAAGGCATGGGAGTGGGGAGAGGAGCAGAGACAGGCACTGCAAGACCTCATGACAGCCGTGAAGACAGCGACAGTGCTGCGGCTGCCAGCAGCAGACCAGCCCTTCATCCTCTACACAGACTGGAGCAGCCAAGGGATGGGAGCAATATTATGCCAGGAGGTGGAGGGAGTGGAGAAGGTGGTGGCCTACGCCAGCAGGAGCTGCAACCCGGCGGAAGCACAATATAGCTCATACATTGGGGAAGGGCTGGCGGCAGTGTGGGCGGTCGGGCATTTCCGGATATACCTGCAGGGCCGAGAATTCACCCTAGTCACTGACCATCAGCCACTCACCTGGCTGATGACTACACCAGGGCTGACAGGCAGGAACGCGCGGTGGGCAGTGAAGCTGCAGGAGTATGATTTCAAGATCAGGCACAGGCCGGGAAAGACGCTGCAGCACGTTGACGGCCTCTCCCGCAATCCACCGCCGCTGGAAACGAAACAGGCCACCCTGGGGACGGAAAAGGCAGAGCAAGAGCCGGCACGGACCTTGATCTTACTGGCAAGAGAGGTGGAGCAGACGGGGGCGAAGGGGAGTAAGGGGCCAACCGACATCTGGTTGGATGCAAAGGCAATGCAATGGGTGAAGGGAGAAACCGAGGAGGATGAAACGGTGCCTGAGAGAGTAAGGGCACGAGGGCACCACTACAGGTGGTATCAGCAGCAGCTGCAGATCAAGACGGAGGATGGGTGGAAGCTGGTGCCAGCGCCCGAGGACCGTGAAGCAGTGATCAAGGAAGTGCACACTAAGCTGGGGCACTTCGGGCACGAGAGGACCGTACACCTGCTGAAGACGGGCTGGTGGTGGGAAGGGATGCGCAGGCAAGTAAAAGAGTGGGTGGAGGGGTGCGAGGCGTGTCAGAGGAGCAAAGCAAACCTGACGCAGGCCAAAGCAGAGCTGCACTCACTGCCAATCTGCGGACTAGGGTTCCGTTGGTCCCTGGACCTCGCGGGAGAGCTGCCACTGAGTCGGAGCGGGAATCAGTACATCGTGTTCATGGTGGAACATGTGAGCAAGTGGCTGGAGGTGCGAGCGATCCCTAGCAAGAGCGCGAGGCACATTGCAGCAGCCTTCAAAGCGCAAGTAGTGTGCCGATTTGGAGCATGCGGGGAGGTACTCACAGACCAGGGAACAGAGTTCCAGGGGGAGTTCAAGAAGCTGCTGGCGGAGTCTGGCATCACGCACCGAAAGACCTCCCGCTATCACCCGCAGAGTGATGGGCTGACTGAGAGAGCCGTGCAAACCTTCAAGCGGGGGCTGCGGGCCTACGGGGAGCAGAGGAAGAGGGATTGGGATGAGGAGTTGGACTGGATCGCGGCAGGGTACAGGTTCGGGAAGCAGGCAGCGTTGAAGGATCACTCCCCGTATAGCCTGCTGTTCGGACGAGAGCCGATTCTGCCAGTGGGAGCACCACGAGTATTGACAGATACAGTGACAGCGGGCACGATCAGGAACTGGGTAGCCCTGTCCGAGGTGAGGGCGCGCTACATGCGCTACATGATGCCAGCGCGTTGGAGAATCTGCACACCGCGCAGCTCAGGGACGCAAGAAGATACGAACAGAGGCAACACAAAGGGGAGGGAAGAACAGCAAAGGATGTCTGCGAAGGACAGGAAGTCTATCTGAAGAGGGCTAAGCAGGACACCCTTGACGTGGGGTTGGGGACCATCCGCTGGAAAGTCAAGGAGGTGCGCCCCTCAGGGGTGCTGGTCTTGGAAAACGACACCGGAGCGCAGCTGAGGGAACATCAGACGAACACTGCAGTGATCAGAGGGACCGGGCCTCAGCGTACTGGTCCTGTGACCCGCGCTCAAGCCGCTCGAGCACGGGCACAAGAGGGGGCAGAGAGTGGCTGAGGCAACCGAAGGAGCTAAGGGACGAAGAGCATGAGGACTAAGGCAGATGATGAGGGTAGAGCTGTATCTCTGACACCTTTCTCCACCACTTGCCATCTCCCCTCCCACCCGTTTTTCCACCCCACTTTCTTGAACCTCCCTCTCACTTCCTGCTTCCTCCCCTCCCTCCCAATCCCCTTTTACCTCTCCTGGAAACCCTCTCAACCCCCCTCTAAACACCCACCCATGCGCCCCTCCCCTCTCCTTGCATATCCCCCCTCCTGCCCTCTCGCCTCCCCCCTACCCTCCCCCCCCTCCGCCTTCCAGGGTGGAGCCTACATATTTGACCCCACTGCTGAAGCAACCAACCCAACTCAGAGAGACGACCGGGTGAGTGCAATCAGGATCTGTCTGCGCTACTGTGGACGCCTCTGTGTCCGCGCTAGCTCAAGCCTGACAGCCAGGTCCTGACGAAGTAAGCGTCCACGTCAGCTCAGCACGATCAGGGTTTGTCAGTTCGATAATTGTCAAACATCGTGGGGCGTTTGTAGAATCATGGATGAGGCTACAAGTATTTGCACTTGACTCAAATGCACAGTGTTTTGTCCTTCTGGTATCTCATAGACTCTCCATGGGATGGAATGGAAGGAAAGCAAGTGTTTGTCACTCACACTTCTGTTTGTGCACTTACACAAACACAATCCTCATGGAACCTCATGCATTCTCTTGGCCATGCTGACGTGTCCAGGTGTCCATCCGCGTTCAACGTGGACCAATCGTGGAAGAGTTCTCTCGACAAGTTGCCCCATGGATTTCAGAGGTACGCTTCCAGCCAAAACAAAACCCCTCTGCAGCTCCTTCCGTTTCCTATTTCTCCAGTGCTCTCTCTGCATTCACTTTTCTGCTCCCACTCTCCCCTGCCTCCCGCTTTCTGCCCTCCCCCTTCCCCCCACCCCTCGACTGCTGCATGCATTTCTTTGCAGACCTTCCGGGTGTACCCAGGTTGTGACTATGCCGAACTGCACTATGTGGTAAGTGTCCTTCTCTTCCCTCCCAGACCTAATCATGCTCTTTGACCTGAAAGGTACCCACGCTCGTTGTCAAACCACCTTGCTCGCTCGATGAAGATTCCTAGTGGTCGTGCTTTGCATGCCTGTGCAAGTGTCTGTGCTCTCAGTGCTTACGCATGATGGAGTGCTGAAAACTCTCCTGTAACGAACACCTTTGAGGCGTTTTGAAAAGTTGCTCAAGCATTCCTTTTAAAGCATCTCCCTGCACCTCACATCACTCCCTTCTTGTGTGCTGCTGCTCATACCCTATTGTGTCTCCACACTCTCTCGCTCCCAAACCACACTCCACAGATCCGGCCTACCCCTTACGATAGCAAGGGTCACGAAGTGGTGACCTGCTTTGTGTGTTTTGATTGGACTCAGAACATATTTCCATTCCCTCCCTCCCCAACCACACCCCACAGATCGGGCCAACCCCCGAAGACAGCAAGGGTCACGAGGTTGTGACTCGCTTTTCAGCCCCCATCAACAGCAACAAGACCTTTTTCACTGACTCTAATGGCAGGCGGTACCTCAAACGGGTGAGCTTATAAGCAGGGGCAAGCAGCTTAAAACGAATACTTGCATTCTCAGTGCAGCCACTATCACCAACAACCAACAGTACTTAAAGTGAAACGAGTGAATGCTGTTTGGTGCTTGGTGAGAGCTGCCTGATTGCTCTTTCGCTCCCCTTTCCACCTTATCTGTTTCTTATTTCCATCCATCCATTGTCCCCTCCCCTCTGCCTTCCCACCTTCGCACACTTCTCTTTCCAGATTCTTGTTCTCCCAACCCTCCCTTCGTTTTCCATACTCCCTGTCTCCCCACACCATCCTCCCTTCCCTGTCACCCCCCTCAATCCCATGCCCTCTCCCCCCTCAATCCCATGCCCTCTCCCCCCTCAATCCCATGCCCTCTCCCCCCTCAATCCCATGCCCTCTCCCCCCTCAATCCCATGCCCTCTCCCCCCTCAATCCCATGCCCTCTCCCCCCTCAATCCCATGCCCTCTCCCCCCTCAATCCCATGCCCTCTCCCCCCTCAATCCCATGCCCTCTCCTCCCTCAATCCCATGCCCTCTCCCCCCTCAATCCCATGCCCTCTCCCCCCTCAATCCCATGGCCTCTCCCCCATCAGATCGTGGACCATCGCGCTGATTGGGAGCTTACAGTCACCGATCCCATCGCAGGCAATTTCTATCCGGTCAGTGCACTCCAGCCAATCCTTACTGTCAGTCCAGTTCAACCAATCCTTACTGTCAGTCCAGTTCAACCAATCCTTACTGTCAGTCCAGTTCAACCAATCCTTACTGTCAGTCCAGTTCAACCAATCCTTACTGTCAGTCCAGTTCAACCAATCCTTACTGTCAGTCCAGTTCAACCAATTCTTCTGTCCAATCAGCCAGTTGAGTTGAACCAAGGGTGATGGTGGGTGCACTCATAAGGGTGTTTGATGCGCCTTAACTAAGCTTCCCTGCATCCATGCTCCCTATCCTCCCCCAAGTGACGCTGGGGGCGTTTATTGACGATGTTTGAGAAACCTGAAGGAGCCTCCCTGCTTCCTCATTCCTCTCTCCCTCCCGTAGGTGACGGTGGGCGCGTTCATCGGGGATGGCGAGTCACAGCTGTCACTGCTGGTGGACCGAGCAGCCGGTGCTGCCAGCCTGGGAGCCGGACAGCTCGAAGTCATGCTGCACCGGTGAGTACTCTGTACCAGAGGCGTTGTTTCAGCTTGGGCCATGCTGCACCAGTGAGCCTAAGAAGAATCTTAGAATGATAATCTTGACATGCTAAGAAGAATCTTGTTGTAAGGGTATAATACGAACCTTGACATGTCTGGGCACACTCAGTCACTATGATGTTCCATACGATTTTTACCCAAACCTGTGATGTCAAACCTCTGCGTGTGCAAATGCAGGGCACTGGTGACGGTGGACATGAAGGGAGTGGGGGAGATTCTCAATGAGGCAATGAAATTCACATTTGTTTGTACTTTCACACCTCTGTGCGTGTGAATGCAGGGCACTGGTGACAGTGGACATGAAGGGAGTGGGGGAGATTCTCAACGAGCAAATCGCATTCAATGGCAACAATGAACGCCTCATGGTATGCGCATATGTGTACTATACATGGCATGGCGCAAAAGAGCATGCGACTTCTGAGTCCATTCAAAAGTCACCTCATGGTATGCGCATAGGTGTACTATGCATGGCATACCTCAGGACAATGCCCTCGGAAAACAAGCTACATCCAAGAAATGTGGTCAGAGAAAGTGGCCGCCAATGCAAGCAAGCGGGGTTGAGTGCCTGCCAGGCTGCCAGTCGAGTGTGCAAGTGCTACTATTTCCGTCCTTCCTTCTTGATCCCCTTTTGAGTCGACTCAAAAGTCACATTGCAAGTGCTACTATTTCCGTCCTTCCTTCTTGATCCCCTTTTCTTCCCCACCCTTCCTCTCCAGGTCATAGGCTCCATCCGCTTTGGCTTGCACCCAGGGGGCAGCACAGGGGTGGCAGAAGAGGAGCACGATGAGGAGCAACCTACAGCAACCACTTCTGCCGTTGCCCCTGCTGATGCTGACGCGGCCACTGCAACCCCCCATGGAAGGCGAGGGGCTGAGACGGACGGAGGAGGGGGCAAAGAGGAGGCGAATCAGGGTTTCTCAGAGATGGGCCGGCCTCGGGAAAGGCGTGGCGGGGAGAGGCAGGAGGGAGAGGGTGGGGGGAAGGGGCAGGGGGCGGAGTGGAGGAGGGTGCACGCCCAGCGCCTTATTGCTCCTCTGCAGCTGGCATTTGCTGTGGAGGTGTGTGCATGCTTCCTGTTTGTGCGCCACGTTTGCTCTTACCGTCTGCGCATGCTTTTCGCCTGTGCAATGGGTTTACTGCTGACGTTCATTCGTGCCTTTTTTTCCTGCCAAGTCAACCCTGTTTCATCTGTTGCAGCAATTTACGAGATTTTGCCCGTTTCCTCCTCTTGATTCCTTCACCCTGTCATCCCTCCTCTTGAACCCCTGCAAGCAACCATATCCCTGTCACAGCTGTCCATCCTTATCAGCCCATGACATCCCACTGCCTCCCTGTCAGATCAGTTGCTTCTTTGGGAAAATCCAATATCCAACTCACCCTGTCAACCCACCACACCCACTAACCCTTGTTCCCTCCTCCACAGACAAAGGAGGCCATAAGAGCAGCGGAGGCATCCCACAGGTGGCGTTACTCCATCTCGCAGGGAGAACGTGCCATCAATTCTCGCACACCCAAGTCTGCTTACTCCCTGCCACCCAACGTTGCTGTCATCTCCTTCCAGGTCAGCTTGAACCCCCCCCCCCCCCTAGCTCCTTCCAGGTCAGATGGAGCCCCCATATCTCCTCGCAGTTCAGATTGAAACCCTTAGCTTGCAAATCTTGCTTTATCGAGACAGCTCGACCCTCCTGGCAGCCCCTCGTTTCCATCCCGTCTCAATCCTGTTCCATAGCACGGTGTTGTGAGACGAGGACGTACCGTCTTTGTGCTAATGTATTCCTAGCTGAACACTTTTGAGACGCCTCAAAAGTTGTTCCATGGCACGGTGTTGTGAGACGAGGACGTACCGTCTTTGTGCTAATGTATTCCTAGCTGAACACAACCACGCCGGCTTGGTCCAATGTGGCGGCGCCTCATTGCCTGTTGCTTCCCCTGCACTCTTTCTCATGCAGGAACTGTCCCCAAGGAACATTGTGCTGCGACTGGCGCATCTGTACGAGGTATGGCAAGCTTGAGAACAGTGTGCGCACGGATCATTGTGCCGCTCCCCATGACACCAAACACCATACCTGGCATCACTTTCAGAGCTTTCTACTCCCCACTTTCTCTGTAAAGATGCCTCAATCACTTCGTTGTGTTGCCCTAGAGCACCTCTAGAACATATATTGTTCAGGCCCTCACTTGTGTTTCGAGGCAACTCCCCTCTTTCCACCATCACCACCATCCCCGTAGGCTGACGAGCATCCAACACAATCCAGAATTGAGCGCGTTGACTTAAGGCAACTCCTTTCGTCACAAAAGGTAATGCATCATGTCCTATTGTACATTACCCATACACAATCATTTGTGCTGTCTTAATGATGCCCCCAGCTGCTGGTGCACGCCTGTTTTTGTCCCCCCGTTTGTTCACATTAGCTTCTGTGTGCTCTGATTGGTCCAGATACAAGGAGTGACAGAGTTGAGTCTAATGGCTAATCAGAAACGATCGGATATGCGCCGTCCGATGGCATGGCGTGTGGATGGAGATTCAAGCCATTCAAAGGAGCATTCACCCCAGGGAGGCCCATTGGACCCAGCTTCCCTCACAGTGGAATTAGCCCCAGGGGAAATCCGCACTTTCTCAGTGCAGCTTCTCACTCATTAAGTTCAAGAATGGGTTGGTTGTGCTGGTTTTCCTAGGACATGCCATGTTTGATGGATTCACTTATTTATTTTTACTTGCAGGGAAATTGAAATGTGTGGCGAACGTGCTACACCATCCACAAACGCGTCTGCTTGTACTGGTCCACAATGCTCACTGCTTGGCAAAATGTACGCCTCGCTTGCGCTGGCGCTCCATTCTGAAAAACTCATAACTCAATCCCGCAGCTAGACCATCGGCACAGAAGAACCAGTAGGTCAGCACGATCTTTTACAAGGCTCCTAGGCGCCATAAGCGCGTTACTCCTCCATGGAGCAACAGCAGCCACCGCAATGCGCGCTAGACGCGGCTCTGAAGCGATCCGAGGCTGTAGACGACAGTACGCCACGTGTCCGCGGACACACCTTCCACGAAGCTTCTGTTATCCCCGCGCGTGAAATTTCTCGCCGCGATCAGCCGCAAGAGGGTAGCGGAATCGAAACCCCCTGTAGCGCGGATGGCGATACCCGAGAAAGCGATGCAGTCACGACTGCTACAGCAGAACCAACAGGGCGAGGGGAAGCTTGTAGGGCCGTACCAGCAGCAGTAGGAGTAGGAGGGGCGGGATCGGTGACGGTGGATTACTCGCTGCTGATGAAGCGAATGGTGACGACGGGGTTCCAAGCCACGTGTCTGGGACAAGCGATTAATGAAGTCAACCGAATGGTGAGATCTCGTTCCGTTCCTCGCGTCTGATGTTCCCCCACGGCCGTCCCTGTGCCTGGTCGTGCCCGTCGTTTAGCTCCTGTCATTCCGTTCTTTCGTAGTCCCTCAACCCCCATTCCCCATCCCCTTTCCCCCACCTTGACTTGTCCATGTTAAACCCCGAACCCTGAACCCCGTTGTTTCCAAATACCGAAGTCGTAGGGGAGTCGAGGATTCCTGCCTTTGTTACCTCTCCGTCCTACCTCTAAACCCTCAACCCGCAAACACCCCTCCCCTCCCCAGCTCAAGCCAGACGACAAGGAGGAGGAGAGGGACATGGCCTTCCGGTCGTCTCGTCAAACCTCTCATGCCCCACACCCATCTATCACTCTCTTCCCCCCTCGCTCCCCCTTGCCCTTAGCTCTCATGGCGGTTGAGCGATGATCCGCCCAAGCCAGACGACACGGAGGAAGAGAGGGACCCGGCTTTCAGGTCGTCGGTGCGGTGCAAGATCTTTCTGGGATTCACCTCCAACCTCATGAGCTCGGGGCTCCGAGAAACGTTCTGCTTCCTGGCAAAGCACAAACTGGTGGGTCACTGCCTCGTGTGAGTTAGTCAGGGGGTTATATCACTCAAGTATACCGGGACTCCCGGCCTTCCGGTCGTCGGTGCGGTGCAAGATCTTCCTGGGATTCACATCCAACCTCATGAGCTCCTGTCTCTCGGGCTAATGCTCCGAGAGACCTTCTGCTTCCTGGCAAAGCACAAACTGGTAAGCACATCTGTTTAATCCCCTCATTTCTTTCCTTCAATCAATCCTTCTTTCTTTCCTCCTCCATCCCCCACTCCCGTTCGTGTAACGGCCCCTACGCTCAGTCATGCTCTTATTCTTGTTGTACCTTTACATGGTCTTGCTTGCGCGCTTCTCTCATAGTCAAACCCCTCACTTTTGCTTTTTCCCATACACTCTCTCATTTAACCACGCACCCATCCAGGTGGATGTGATAGTGACAACAGCGGGGGGCATAGAAGAGGACGTGATAAAGTGCCTGGCGCCCACGCTCCTGGGTGACTTCTCCCTGGCGGGGAAGGACCTGCGGGCCAAGGGGCTGAACCGCATCGGCAACCTGCTCGTGCCGAACAACAACTACTGCCTCTTTGAGGACTGGGTGCTGCCCGTGCTGGATGCTTGTCTTGAGGAGCAGAAAACGCAGGTGAGGGGGGAAAGAGGGAGCGAGTCTCCTGCCTGGTGGGGAAGGACCTGAGGGCTAAGGGGCTGAATTGCATTGGCAACCTGCTGGTACCGAACAACAACTACTGCCTGTTCGAGGACTGGGTGCTGCCCGTGCTGGATGCTTGTCTTGAGGAGCAGAAAAGGCAGGTGAGGGGGGGGCGAGGTGAGCGGGAGAGGGAGAGCGAGAGGGAGTGGGAGGTGGTGTCTTGGCAGGACGGTCAACCTGCTCGTGCCGAACAACAACTACTGCCTCTTTGAAGACTGGGTGCTGCCCGTGCTGGACGGTTGCTTGCAGGAGCAGCAGACGGAGGTGAGGGGAGAAATGGGGAGAGGGAGTGTTCCTCCTGGGGGGGGGGAATTGTTGACTTGTTCCTCCTGATGCATAAGAGTCTAATCCACATTCACCTCCTTTCCTCCTCTCCCTCCCTCATGTGCCCACGGCAATCAGGGCGTGGTGTGGACGCCCTCCAAGCTCATCGACCGCCTGGGGGAACTATTTTAGTTGACTCACAAGTCTGACGTCTAACTTTAACCGCACGTTTACTGCCCTTCCCTCTGTGCCCACGTCAAGCAGGGCGTGGTGTGGACGCCCTCCAAGCTCATTGACCACCTGGGGGATTCTTTAAGTCGAATCAGTGGTGTGATGTGTGACGGTGTGAGTCTAACCACACTTCCTCCGTCTTCCCGCTTCCCATGTGTGCCGGCCTCAAGCAGGGCGTGGTGTGGACGCCCTCCAAGCTCACCCTTGAGTAAAAAATAGGAAAATAACAGAAAAGCATATCCTGTGCATCTTTGCGTTTGTGCGCCACCCCCCCTGTAATGTCAGAACGGCATCCCGGTGTTGTGTCCAGCCATCACGGACGGGTCCCTGGGTGACATGATCTACTTCCACTCCTGGGTGACATGATCTACTTCCACTCCTGGGTGACATGATCTACTTCCACTCCTGGGTGACATGATCTACTTCCACTCCTGGGTGACATGATCTACTTCCACTCCTTCCGCTCGCCCGGGCTCCTCATTCACCTCGTACAAGGTGCGTTGACCTGCGTTGACTAGGTTGACTTGGTGCAAAGCCCACATGATGCGCAACGGGGCTGGCAACCTCCTTCCCTGACACATCTCCTCACTCAACCCCTCACCATCCCTTTAGGCACCCTCCTTACTCGCAACCTTCCTTATTCACCCTCTTCCCTGAACGCCCCATGGTTCCCCCCAGACATTCAGCGGATGAACGGCGAGGCAGTGAACGCCACCCCGCGGCGCACTGGAGTGATCATTCTGGGAGGGGGGCTGCCGAAGCACCACATCTGCAACGCCAACATGATGCGCAACGGGGCTGACCTCCCACCACTTGACACCCCCCATCACCCTTGCCCCTGACACACCCCCTGGCAGCGAATGAACAGTGTTTCCCCCCACCCCAACAACAATTCCACCCCTGCGGCTCCCCTCCTCCTCCTCCTCCTCTCTTCCCCCTCTTCCCCACCTCCCCTCTTCCCCCCAGACATCCGGCGGATGAACGGTGAGGCAGTGAACGCCACCCCGCGGCAAACGGGCGTGATCATTCTGGGAGGGGGGCTGCCGAAGCACCACATCTGCAACGCCAACATGATGCGCAACGGGGCTGACTACGCGGTCTACATCAACACAGCGAGCGAGTTCGATGGCAGCGACTCGGGGGCCAGGCCTGACGAGGCTGTGAGCTGGGGGAAGATCCGAGAAGATGCCACCGCTGTGAAGTTGAGAGGGAGAGAGAGAAATCTCCTTTAAGCTGGCTCAATGTCGCCTTGTGAAAGTGTGAGAGTGTGAGCAGACACACATGCTGTGGGGAGAGAAGGCACGGGGAGCAGGTGGCGTATGTGATGGCACTGCAGGGGTAGTGAGAGAGCACATGTAGTGTCGTAATTCCAAGTCAAGCATCGCCTCTGCCATTCTTCCTATCTCATTCGCCCATCTCTGCAGTAAAAGCCTATAATCTGATGGCTTCATTTCACCTGCCTGCAGGTGCATAATGATTACTCCATCACCTTCCCTCTGCTTTTGAGTTGACTAAGAATTCCCATGTGATTTCACCCATCCCCTCTGCCCTTTCACCCATCTCCTCCATCCTCCATTTTCCCCTTGGCCACCTGCAGGTGTATTGCGATGCCACCATTGCCTTCCCCCTGCTTGTAGCCGAGACGTTTGCCCCCCACTTACAGGAGCGAGTGCAGCAGCAGGAGCAAGCAAAGCAGGAGGTGCAAGCAAAGGAGTAGCAGTAGTGACAGACAGCAGGCAGAGTATGAGGACACTCAGGAGGAGAGCATGACAGGCATGACCACCGGACTGATATCATGCGCATACGTGATTGCGCTCAGGTGGTTGTGTTTAGCTGTTACTCTGTAACCCAGTAGGGTTTGTGTTGTTACAAATGTTTGACAATACACAAGTTTTTTTGCAGGGCTGAAAGGAGAGCACAAGCAGAGACTACGGTGATATTCATTCAGATGCTACACTCAAATCACGGCCACTATTCAATACAAAATTCAGGAAGGGCTAATGCAGTGGAGCGGGCACATGTATGCCATAACACCCCACCCCATGCCATACAAGGCAAGAAAAATGAGCATTTACCACCACAAGCACTTGGGGAGAACTACTGGGTCTGCTGCTCCCTTTGAACCCTGAGGGGGAGTGATCGGTACTGTATAATGAAATATACGGTATACGGTAGCGCACAAAGCAGGCGACCAGCAGAAGAGGACAGGTGGTTCAGTGCCCTAGATATCAGACTTTGGAGTCTGAATCAGAGTCCGTTCAGACTTTTTTTTTGTACCTAGTCTGAACTCAAAGAATTTATTTATGTACCTTGTCTGATTTTCCAGAGTTTTTTCTTATGAGTTGTCTGAAATTTCAGCCTAATTTTACTAGGGTAGGCTGAGCCTCAGACTTGTATCGGGGGTACACTCTGCGCGCTTATCGGAGCGAAGTTTCCTGGAAGTTTCCTTCCGATATGCCCACTTCCGAGATGGCAGTGGAGTGCCAAGACGTGAGCAACACTCACTTCGACAGCTGGGACATCCAAATACACTCGTTCGTCGCGAATATCTTCCAGTTACGCTGAGGAAATGGTTGCGTGATTACGAGATTTCTGAAGACAAAATCTCGTCACATGTAAGTTATCGCTTATGTACTGTAAAGAATAGGCGACTTTGATGCTGATTCGCTGTAAAAGCATATGCAACACGCACTGGTGTGAATTGCGACGTTCCTGATTCGTAGTGAAAGTTTCGTGTGGCACTGTCTGATGCTCACATGCCACGCCAAGCAACAGTTTCTGCCTGCTGCCAGCTCAGCTGCGTGGCACTTGGCCCACCTGATACAGATCGGGTGCTCTACTCGGGCCGAGGGTGTCGCGTGGCACTTGGCCCACCTGATACAGATCGGGTGCTCTATTCGGGCCGAGGGTGTCGCGTGGCACTTGGCCCACCTGATACAGATCGGGTGAACGATCGCATCGCTTGAAAAGCAAATCCAAAACTGACAAAATCGGCACACATGCGAGAAAATGGGTACAGAACGGTAATCACACACACGACAAAACGAAATGAGATCAGCAGCAGAGCAGAAACAACCATGCGCTGCATGTGACAAAAACACCGGAACGCCGCCGACATGAGCAGAGGCGATGCACGAGCACGAGCACGTTGCCTGATGCGTTGGTATGGTATGCTGTAATCAGCTTCAATGCTATTATAACTGCTTTTACGAAAGTGCATGAACATCTTAAAATTTGAAGTAACTCTGACAGTTCAGACAAAAAAAATTGTGCCTGTCTGAATTTTCAGACTAAACTTTTGAGGCACCTCTGACAGACAGAGTTCCAGGAGGGGTGTACTCTGAGGCCTCAGACTACCTCAAAACGAATCTAGGGGCCTGAGGTGGTTGGAAGTGCTGTATGGGAAGCCTCAATGCCTGCAGAAGTGACGTACCGGCATGATCCCTGAACATCTTAAGATAGGCTAGGAGGCAAGTGTCGAGAGTAAATGTTTGAGTAAGGAGGAACAAGGAGATGCAAATGTCGACCTAAAGTGTTGTACCCTTTAGAGGGCAACTCACAGTAGCCTATCTAACAATATATAGAATATATAAACATTTGACACACCCCCATAGGCTAAGTGAGGGGCATCAAAACAACCAACGGAAACAAGGGGTCACAAGACCAGTCAAGAACAAGCATAAAAAAAACAAAGCTCAGGGTGGCGCTCAGAGTCACCACACACTCCGAGCACAAGCAAGTGGCCACAAGGCCAGTTCAAGAGTTTACTAGTATATATAGAAGCACAACAAGTAGAGCAAACAGCAAGTCTACAGCAACCGAGGGCCTACCTCAACAAGCCCCAACTGCACACAGAACCTGTGGTGGTCACCAGGCGCCAAGGCCTTGGTGAAGACGTCGGCAGTGTTGGCCTGTGAGGCCACAAAGTCCAAACGTGCCTGACCGCGTCGCTGCAACTCTCGCAGGAGGAAGTACCTCACGTCAATATGCTTCACTCTGCTCTCCAGTCGAGGCTCTCGACACAGGAGGATCATGGCCTTGTTGTCAGCGTACAAGGTCGGTGCAGAGCGAGGCCGCTCACCAAGGTCGGCGAGCAAGAAGGTCAACCAGCGAAGCTCCTGTGCCGCCATGGCACCAGCGTAGATCTCTGCCTCTGCACTGGAAGTAGCCACAGACGACGACCGTGTAGACCTCCACGACACAGCACCAGCTCCCAGACTGAAGCAGTAACCCTGAGTCGAACGCTGAGTCTCCACGTCGTCAGCGTAGGAAGAGTCGCAGTGACCAGTCAACGCCACTGGCTGAGTCCCTCCAAGCACAAGCCCCATGCCTGATGTAGTCGCCAGGTACTTCGCCACCCTCACAGCAGCTGTCCAGTGGACAGGGCGGTGTCTCCCAGTCGCAACAAAGCGAGAAAGGATGCTGAGTGGAAAGGCGAGGTCCGGTCGAGTACAAGTCATCAGGTACATGAGGCAGCCCACCAGCTCTGCGTAGGGTCCACTGGACTCAAAGGGCTCGTCAGGAAAGGGGCCCGTGAGTCTGTGGTCAACAGCAAGAGGAGTGGGCTGTGTGGTGGAGAACTGGAAGTCGAACCGCCGAAGGATCTGCTGCACCATGTGTGACTGCGTCAGTGTGATGGTGCGAGCGGCTCTGTCCCGGGTGATCTGCAGGCCAAGGTAGCGCTGCAGCTCACCCAGGTCAGTGCACTTGTGTCTCTTCTGCAGTTCGGACTTCACCTGAGCCAGGGCTGCCCTGTCTGCTGTAGCAAACACCAAGTCGTCGACATAGACAAGGATAAAGAAAGGAGTAGAACCCGCTCGAACAAACAGCGACGGGTCGGCGGAGGACGGGCTGAACCCAAGGTCACGAAGCGTGGAGCGAAGAGTGTCGTGCCACTCACGGGGCGACTGGCGGAGACCGTAGACTGGTCGCCTCAGGCTCCACTGGGTCCCAGGTGGGAAGGTGTCAGTGAAGCCAGGAGGACGGCGCAGCCAGATCTCCTCGTGTAGTCGGCCCTGGAGGAACGCAGTGGAGAAGTCGAGGGAGTGCAGCTCGTAGTCTCGCTGCGCTGCTATGTGGAGTAACACCCGAAGAGTAGTCATCTTCGGGGTCGGGGCGAAGGTCTGGAAGAAGTCAACTCCCTCACGCTGACTGAAGCCCCTAGCCACGTAGCGCGCCTTGAACACCGGCGGTGCTCCAGGCGGCCGCTTCACCTTGAAGAGCCACATGCCATCGACTACGTTCGCCCTGGGAGGGGGAACTGCGTCGACGTAGGTGCCTGTGGATCTCCAAGACGCCAACTCTGAGTCCATAGCCGCTTTCCACTAAGAGACCCACGCCCCTGACACTGCCTCGCGGTAAGTGCGAGGAGTCGGTATGTCAAGGGCGTCGGGGTCTCCCTCAGGGGAGAGCAGCATGGCACACACAGAGGGAGAAGCGGCTGCCCAGTACTCCAGCTCAGACTCTCTGTCCTCTAGGACGTCACAGCCAAGGGCAAACCCACCCCCGACGGACAGAGGACGGTAGGGAGGAGCTGGCACCACACGGGTGGCGTAGTCAAGGTGGCTGGCGGCAGCAAACTCAGCGACAGCGGCAGTAAGAGCCGAGGCAGACGACGGAGGGAAACGAGAGTCGGTGACAAGAGTGGCGAGGACACGTGCGGCAACAGGACGAACAACGCGGTAGTAGTCAGAGATAGGAGTGGGGAGGGCTGGTAGGGAGGACGGAGGAGGAGACGGGAGAACGGACACAGGAGAAGGAGAACGACGACGAGACGAACAAAGGAGGGCAGTGTGGAGGTCAGTAACAGGGGACGAGTGACGAGCACGCGGAGGACAACGAGTGATCAGGTCGCGACGGACAGAGGGAGGAGGAGAAGACCAGACCGCCGGACGGTCGTCAGGAGGAGGCAACGGAGGAACAAACACAGGAGGAGACTGGGAGCGGACAGGAGGAGAGGAGGAAAGGCCAAGGGCCCGCAGGCCACTCACAGGTGGGAACAACCGCCGCTCTAGAGGAAGCTGCGGTGGCGGCTGCGGCCGCTGCTGCTGCGGCTGCGGCTGCTGCTGCTGCGGCTGCGGCGGCGGCTGCGGCTGCTGCTGCTGCTGCTGCTGCTGCTGCTGCTGCCGCTGCTGCTCCAGAAGGTCCAGCACCCGCAGCTCCTGCCGCTCCCTCTCCAACCGCTCCTGCTCCTCACGCTCACGCCGACGAGCAGCCTGGAGACGCGTGTCGTGGCGGTGGGGAGGCGGAGTGGACTCCGCAGAACCAGGGTCTCCAGCGTCAGTCCCCTCAGACTCAGCACCCCCAGAACCAGCACCGCCAGTGCCAGGACCTCCAACTCCAGCACCCCCAGAACTAGCACCGCCAGTGCCAGCACCCCCAACTCCAGCACCCCCAGAACCAGCACCTCCAGTGCCGGCACCTCCTGCTCCAGCACCCCCAGAGCTAGCGCCACCTGCGCCAGCACCTCCAGCTCCAGCACCCCCAGAGCTAGCGTCACGTGCGCCAGCACCTCCAGCTCCAGTACCCCGCGACCGAGCACCCCCAGACCGAGCACCGCCAGCGGCTGCACCTCCAGCGCCAACACCAACCGAGTCCAAAGTAACCTGTCGCGGAAGTGCCGAAGGCTGCTGAGGGGACTGTGAGGAGGACTGCGGGGAGGGAGACGCTACCTGACGCGCGACCGAGGGTAGAGGGGTAGCGTGGGACACACCAGACGGGGCAGGACCTGGGGGGGGCGGGGGTACCGGAGGAGCGGGAGCAGGAGGAGGAGAGGGTGCGAGGAAGAGAGGGGGAGGGGGTACCGGGAGACCTCGACAGGGGTACCGGGTGTAGTAGGACACGGACTCGTCAAACCGGACGTCACGGGAGTCTAGGAACTGGTGGAGGGGAGGGTGGTAAAAGGACCAGTCAGCAGAGTCCACTGGGAAACCAAGGAAGACACATGGGACGGCGCGTGCCGAGAGCTTGTCCGCGGAGGTGTCGCGAACAAGTGCAAGGCAGCCCCAGACTCGAAAGGCCGACCCAACACCAGGGGATCCAGTCCAAAGACTGGTCGGTGAAGCCTCGGGCCGCGAGACACGCGGCTGGAGGTTCAGCTGGTGTGCGGCGTAGCGAACCGCGTGGGGCCACAGAAAATGGGGCGCACGGGCATGAATCATGGACGTGCGGGCGATGTCCATGACCAAGCCTATGCGGCGCTCAGCAACCCCATTCTGCTGTGGGGACTCTGGCAGCGTCCAGGACTGGGTGATGCCCTGTTCGCCGCAGAATCCGCCGAGAATGCCGGAGCGAAACTCGCCCCCACGATCGGAGTGAAGACAACTGACTCGACGACCACGAGTGCCCTCAGTGGCTAGAAGCCACCTGATCAGCGTAGCAGTCACCTCGGACTTCTTCGCAAGAGGGAACACTGTGGTGTACCTGGAGAAGTCGTCGACGACCACCAGAAAGTAACGCTCCCTCCCAGACCCCTGCGTCGGGGCAGGGCCCCAGACGTCCAAGTGGAGAGTCTCGAAGGGAGCGGTGGCCGGACGAAGGGAGGAGGAGTGGGGAGTGGCGCGTAAGCGACCGGCGACGCACGGAGAGCAAGGAGGGGCAAGCGAGAGAGGGAGCGACGGGAAGGTGCGTGGGAGACCTGTGACTAGTCCCTGACTGAGCATGCCACGAAGGCGAGGGATCGACGGGTGGCCAAGACGGTGGTGCCACAGGACGGTGCGGTGGGCGAGAGAGCGACAGGAGCAAGACGCAGCGACTGGACTGGACACAGCGACCGGACTGGACACGACTACCTGGCTAGACACAGCAACTGGACTGGGGACCTGAGCCGGAGGGGACGCAACAACCTGAGGGGAGGACGCGACCGGGGAGCGCTCGGTGTGGAGAACGTAGAGACCGGAGCGGGGCTCCCTGGTGAACGTGGCCAGAACAGCACCTGTGGTAGCGTCAGTACAGACTGCAGTCCGCCCCCCCCCCCACAAAGGTAACGGTGATCCCCCTGTCCTGGAGGTATCCAACACCCACCAAGTTCCGAGTGAACGAGGGGATGTGGAGGCCGCGCAAGACACCAGAGGGGACCACAGGGCACGGGAGGGTGGTGGAGCTGCGCGCAACGGCTGGTCCTGAAGAAGGATCAGCCAAAGCTACCGGAACCGGAGCAAGAAGTGGTGTGAGGGTCGTGTGGTCGCGGAAGAAACACTGCGACGCGCCAGAGTCCAGCGTGAACGACAGAGACGCCTCAGCCGGAGGCGTGTCAGGTCCGGAGGCTACACAAGCACCTAGAGCAGAAACACAAGCACCTAGACTAGAGAGGCACAGGTCTACACTAACAGGAGGCAAGCATCCTAGACTACGAACACGCGAGCACACAAATCCATCAGCACTATAGTCAATATCAGCATACAAAGCATACTGACGAGCATCGTCCATAGACAGTTCAAATACAGGAATCTTACGGGCTAGCAGGCGAGCCCAGCGCGGGGTGGTCGCCTCAGGACCCCAGCGTGCACGGTAGAGGTCGTCGAGGCGGCGGAAGCACCGCGCTGCAGAGTGGTCGTCGCGGCCGCAGACACAGGGACTGCCAGGTCCGGTGACGCACCAGTGGTCGCAGGGGCCGGTGTCGCGCCGCGGGGGGCGAGGGGCCCAGCTGGTAGTGCTGCTGCTGCGGCCAGTGCTCCCGGGTCCTCCAGGTCCCCACTGTGGCGGAGGGCCCCAGTGCTGCTGCGGACCCCACTGCAGTGGGGGTCCCCACGTCTGAAACTGCTGTGGTGCCTGCCACTGCTGCTGTCCCTGGTGCAGCTGCTGTCTCTGCTGTGGCTGCTGCTGCTGTGGCTGCTGCTGCTGGGGCCCCGCACCACCGCTGGTCGAACCTCCTCCAGCAGGTGGGTCAGCACCTCCTCCAGAGCTCCCTCCGCCTGGGGCAACACCGCCACCACTGCCGCCCCCAGGGCCGCCTCCACCACCGCCACCTCCTCCACCGCCGCCACCCCCCTTCCCCCCTTTCTTGCCCCCCTTGCCCCGTTTCTGCCTGTCAGCGGCAGAAACAGCTGCAGTGTCCTCAGAAACCGACACAGCAGCAGAGGCACGTGTAGCAGTGAAGGTAGGAAGCTGGGGGACAGCACACCCCTCAAACAAACGAGGGGCAACTGCGTCAGTGGCTGAGGCAACAGAGAGGAGGTTACTCTCGATCTTCCCGAGAGTGGTCTCGAGAAGATCAATCGTAAGCTCACTGGGGTGATGCTGGAGAAGTGCGTCACGGGCAGTGGAGAGGCGGTCAGGGAGACGAGTGACTACCCAGTGGACTGTGAGCCAAATAGGAGGAGGAGCAACAAGAAGCTGAGCCTCAGTGCAAGCTGCTCGGTAGCTAGCGACAAGGGAGCGCAAGTGTGTGGCTAGGTCAGAGACAGTCGCAAAAGAGCCGAGGTCGGGAAACACGAACGGCATGAGGATGCGGCTGAGGGAGGCAGAGGAAGGGGTGGAATAGCGTGCAGAAATAGCATCATACACCTCCTTCGCAGTCTCTACCAGGTCGAAGTGAGCGGCCTCAGTCGGTGGAAGGAGCTCGGTCAGCGCGAGTGCAGCCGCAGCGTCACGGGAGTCCCAAACGTCCCGCGCCAAGACGAGACGAGTGTAGTCCGCCTGTGCCTCCGGAGTCGGGGGGGGCACGGCAGGGAGGGGCTCGGGACGCGGTGGTGCCTGGAGGGCGCCGGACGCGTGGGCGTACAGGGTGGCGCCGTCCTGGCGCTGACTGGTGAGATAGCGCTGAGTCTGGCGGAGCCAGGTGCCGAACTCTATCGGGCGCCCCTCTGCATCGAAACGAAGGCGGCGGGAGGAGTCCATATTGGACGCTAGGCTAGGAACAGCTGGAGCACGGAGCAAACGGAGCTAGGAGCGAGGAGCGCCAGGTGGGACTAGGCGAGGTACTGCTGGAGTACGGAGGAAAACTGAGCTAGGAACGCCAGTCTAGTAACGAACGGAGCTGGGAGTTAGCTGACCTAGGAGCACACGGCTGGAGGAGGCAGGGCTGACGAGCCGATCGAGGAGCCAGAGGGTCGTTCGAGGGGCTGGCGGAGCGAGGAGAGACCTAGCTAACAACGAACGTCAGGACTAGCCTAAACAGCTAAGCGGAGCGGCCTCCAGCCGCGACGGTGCGAAACACTGTGAGTATGAGTGACGCGAGTGTCGAACCAACGGAGGTCGGGTGGTCCTGGGTGGTGTGCGCGCGTGATAAGGGGATGTGAGCGTTTGGAAGGGGCTCTGAGCGGTTGGAAGGGGCTGTGAGCGGTTGGAAGGGGCTGTGAGCGGTTGGAACGGGCTGTGAGCGGTTGGAAGGGGCTGTGAGCGGTTGGAAGGGGCTGTGAGCGGTTGAAAGGGGCTGTGGGCGGGTGGGAGGGGCTAGCTGGCGCCAGCTGCTGGCGGCTAGGTTCCGGTGGCTAGCTGCTGCTGGCGGCTAGCTTCTGCCTAGCCGTGCTGCTGCTGCAGGAGCACGCGCTGCTGCCTAGCCGTGCTGCTGCTGCAATGGACACGTTGCTGCCTAGCCGTGCTGCTGCTGCAATGCACGCGCTGCTGCCTAGCCGTGCTGCTGCTGCAATGCACGCGCTGCTGCCTAGCCGTGCTGCTGCAGCAAAGCACGCGCTGCTGCTGCAATGCGCGTGCTGCAGTGGCGTGCGCGGCTGCCGCTGGCTAACGCGCGCGCTGCTGCGGGCTAAGAACGACTACGCGGGCCCGCGGGGGGGGGGGGGGGGGAGAGTCCCTTCTGGAGCGCGACGAAACGAGGGGCCAGTGGGGGGGGGGGGAGAGTCCCTTCTGGAGCGCGACGAAACGAGGGCCCTGTAAACGCGACGAAAAACGAGGCCCGCGGGGGCCCTTAAACGCGACGAAAACGAGGCCCGCGGGGGCCCTTAAACGCGACGAAAACGAGGCCCGCGGGGGCCGTCCTACCCGCGACGAAACGGGGCCTAAGGGACGGGCGCCTCGGGACCGGCTAAGGGAGGGAGCGGAAGCGTGGGAGGGAGTAAAAAACCTACTCTAATACCATCTTAAGATAGGCTAGGAGGCAAGTGTCGAGAGTAAATGTTTGAGTAAGGAGGAACAAGGAGATGCAAATGTCGACCTAAAGTGTTGTACCCTTTAGAGGGCAACTCACAGTAGCCTATCTAACAATATATAGAATATATAAACATTTGACAGAACACTCTTTATTTCTTTTGAGGCAACAAAAAATGGAACTGTAACAAGGGGAGCCACAATGCTGCAAAGGCTGTAACAAGTGATCATGAGGTGAAGGCTGCAAAGGCTGTAACAAGTGATCATGAGGTGAGGGCTGCAAAGGCTGTAACAAGTGATCATGAGGTGAAGGCTGCAAAGGCTGTAACAAGTGATCATGAGGTGAGGGCTGCAAAGGCTGTAACAAGTGATCATGAGGTGAAGGCTGCAAAGGCTGTAACAAGTGATCATGAGGTGAAGGCTGCAAAGGCTGTAACAAGTGATCATGAGGTGAAGGCTGCAAAGGCTCACAAGGCACCTCAATCGGAGGAGCTGAGAGCCTATATATCCATGGGCTCACACGCTGAACCTGGCGGCTCATCACTAGCGGAACCACCTGTAGTATTGGCAACAGCGGGAGGAGCGGCCGGTGCATCAGTGGCAGCAGTTGCAGCACAGGTGGGAGGGCTCCCCCCACTCTGACCGTGTGAAGCGGGCAGGTTGGAGAACGGCAGCCCTGCTGAAGCTGCCAGGGACGCTTGGAAGCTGAGAGCGTCTATTATCGCACTGGCGTCTTGTAACGAGGATGGGTTCATCTGCTGTAGCAGCTGCTCTAGGGAAGCTTCTAGTCCTGGTAGGGTTGCTGCTGCCGCTGCTGCTAGTGTGGGTGCTGCTGCTGGTGCTGGTGCTGCTGCTGCTGGTGCTGCTGCCCCTTCGTTAGAGCCCCACTGCTGTACAGTCACACCTGGGGTTGCACCTGCTGTCGCCTCGGCCCCTATCCTTGCACCTGACTCTGCTGCTGTCCCAACTCCAGCTGCTCCCGCGATAGAGCCCCATGGCTGTATAATCACGCCTGGGCTCGCTCCGAGCCCTCCGAACCCATTTCCCGTTCCGGTCCCCCCTGCAAACGAGCCCCACTGCATTACAGTCACACCTGGGCTTGCTGCTACCCCTGGGCGCATCCCTCCCATATAGCCCCACTGCTGCATAGTCACACTCGGACTGGCTGCTATTCCTGAGCCCATCCCTCCTACAGTACCCCATTGCTGCATAGTCACACCTGGGCTGGGTCCTGTTCCCAAGCCCATCCCCCCTATAGTACCCCACGGCTGTATAGTCACACCTGGGCTGGGTCCTATCCCTGAGCCTAGTCCCCCCATAGAGCCCCACTGCTGCATAATCACACCTGGGCTGGCACCTGAAAACCACCCTGCTATAAGGTCAGACATGGAGGGATAAGTGATCTCAGGTGCTGCAGAGGTTATCAGGCTCGGACGGGTACTTTCGAGGTTTGGAGGGCCGTTCAAGAGGCTCGGCAGCACGTCTGGAAGGTTCGGGACGGATGGGTTTGACTGGGTGGCAACAGGTTGGGGCGGAAGATTGGAGAGAATCCATTGAGAGGCAAGCTGACCAAACGGACTCGGGCCGAAACCCGAAGCAGGGAGAGTGGAAGCAGCCTCGGCAGAAGCAGCCTCGGCAGAAGCAGCCTCGGCAGAAGCAGCCGTGGCAGACACAGGCGGAGGTGGGTGTACAGGGGAGAGGGCTGCACTGATGGTGTTGGGCGTTGCACCCGTGCTTGCAGGCGCTGTGACAGCAGCAACAGCAGCAGGAGAAACTGGCGGTGGAGTGGAGGCTGCTGCTGCATCAGCACCACTGCTGGCTCTGCCACTGGCTGCAGTGTCCAAGTCATAGTCACCCGAATCCATTGGTGCGTTCGTGGGCTCATGATAATGAGACGCACTAGGCTCGGAATGAACAAGCTGTGCACTGGGATACTCTGGCTGGGTGGGGTTGTGGACGTGCGAGTAGGGTGATGGTTAGGCTTGATCGCACACCCATGTACTCATACACCTCCTTGTGCTCTTGCACCTCCTCCTCCCTGTCCTCCTCCTGGTGCTCTTGCAACTCTTTTCGAGGCGCCTCACAAGTGAGGCTTGATCGCACACCCATGTATTCATACACCTCCTCGTGCTCTTGCACCTCCTCCCCTTCCCCGTCCTCCTCCTCCTCCTCCTCCTCCTCCTCCTCCTCCTCCTCCTCCTCCTCCTCCTCCTCCTCCTCCTCCTCCTCCTCCTCCTCCTCCTCCTCCTCCTCCTTCTCATCCTTCTCATCCTCCTCCTCCTCCTCCTCCTCCTCCTCCTCCTCCTCCTCCTCCTCCTCCTCCTCCTCCTCCTCCTCCTCCTCCTCCTCCTCCTCCTTCTCATCCTTCTCCTCCTCCTCCTCCTCCTCCTCCTCCTCCTCCTCCTCCTCCTCCTCCTCCTCCTCCTCCTCCTCCTCCTCCTCCTCCTCCTCCTTCTCATCCTTCTCCTCCTCCTCCTCCTCCTCCTCCTCCTCCTCCTCCTCCTCCTCCTCCTCCTCCTCCTCCTCCTCCTCCTCCTCCTCCTCCTCCTCCTCCTCCTCCTCCTCCTTCTCATCCTTCTCCTCCTCCTCCTCCTCCTCCTCCTCCTCCTCCTCCTCCTCCTCCTCCTCCTCCTCCTCCTCCTCCTCCTCCTCCTCCTCCTCCTCCTCCTCCTTCTCATCCTTCTCCTCCTCCTCCTCCTCCTCCTCCTCCTCCTCCTCCTCCTCCTCCTCCTCCTCCTCCTCCTCCTCCTCCTCCTCCTCCTCCTCCTCCTCCTCCTCCTTCTCGTCCTTCTCGTCCTTCTCCTCCTCCTCCTCCTCCTCCTCCTCCTCCTCCTCCTCCTCCTCCTCCTCCTCCTCCTCCTCCTCCTCCTCCTCCTCCTCCTCCTCCTCCTCCTCCTCATGTTCCTCCCTTCCCTCATTTTCCTCCTCTGCATCTTCCAGCTGCTGCTCTCCCAACTGCTGCTGTTGCTGCTGCACATGAGTATAATCGTTATTCTGCTGCCCATGCCTGTTATGCTGCTCGTAATCCTGCTGTTGCCCTTGCCGACCCATCCGCTCGTCCTCCCTAAGAGATGCAGTGTGTGCAGCACCAGTAGCTGCACCAGTAGCTGCACCAGTCGCAGCACCATTGAACTCCATGCTGCCTCCTGCTTGTGGAATGGACTCAGAAGTCGCAGCACCAGCATCCTCCTCCTCTCTGCACGCTGCAGCATCCCCACCATCAGCCTTCCCACCATCTTCCTTCCCACCATCTCTCAACTCACCAGCTCTGGCCTCACTGCCAGTAGCGTGTCTCTCTCTCATATCGGCTTGACTCGCAATGCCTTCAGTCACGCTGGCAAGATGCTGCCCCCCTCGTCTTCCACTCCACTCCTGGACCAACTTCCCCGACCACACACTATCCATTCCCTCTCCCCCACTCGACCCCTCTAAAGGATTCACCTGAGTCCCGACATCCCTCCTCTCAAACACCATATCCTCCATTCCTGAGGCTGCTTCACCTTCGGTCGAATCAGCCGCAAACTGTCCCGAGCCTGACGCCGAGCCTCGGCTCCCGAAGCTAGAGCTCCGGAGGGCAGGGGAGAGGCGCGGGCGGTCCGGAGGAGGGAGCCGGGCTGACTGGCTGTGTTTCAGAATTCGCTTAGCAGGACTGGCTGGGTTGGCTGCGCCGGCCTGGTATACAGGTGGATCTATTGCTGCTGGCGACCTTTGAGACGTCTCAAAACTGGCTGGGTTGGCTGGGCTAGCCTGGTATCCAGGTGAATCTATTGCTGCTGGCGCAGCTAGTGCTGGCGCTGCTGGTGCTGCTGCCGTTCCCAGTTCTGGTGCTGCCACTGCTGCTACACCTGGCTCTCCATAAGAAGCAGCACGCGATGGTGCTTCACTTTCTCCCAGCACTGCGCCACCACCTTCCACCGTCACATCGAGTCTCGGCCGATCCAGACCTGCAGCTGCAGCCGCCGCTGCTGCTTCCACTGCGGGCCTGTCCACGCCTGCTACACCTGGTTTGACCAGACCTGCACTCGATTTCTGTGCCTCAGCACCCGATGGAAGCGCTGCTGCTTGAGGCTCCTGAGGCGCTTTAAATACTGGCGCCGTTTTCTGTGGCTCACGTGGTAGTGGCGACTTCAAACCCCAAGGCTGGGCAGCAGCAGCACGGGGAGACGGAGACGGTACCGCATCTGTTTTCTGCGATTCACCTGGCAGAGGGGATTTCATCCCCCAAGGCCGGGCCGCCACGCCAGGAGATGGGCTGGGGTGTGGAGACACGGCGAGCACAAGGGGATTTGAAGACAGGGGGGCGGTGTTGCCGCGGGTGGGGAAGGGAGCAGACGTGGAGAGGGGGTGAGGGGAAGAGTGGGCGGAGGGAGGAGGGGGGAAGGAGCCGCCACCGCCGAGGAGGGAGAGATCGCCGACGAGCTGGATTGTGCCGTCTATGACGGCTATAGGCGCGCCTGGTAGGGGTCCCGCCATGCTCCGCTTGAGCATGGGACGGGTGCGCATGGGTCGTGGCGGCGGGCGGTCTTGGTTGTCCTTTTGTTGGACTTCTTCCCCCTGCTTCTGCTGCTGGTGTGGCAGCTGCTGCTGCTGCTGCTGTTGTTCACATTGCTGCTGCGGCTGCTGCCAGTGGGGCTGTTGCTGTGACAGCTGCAGTTGTGGTGGCTGCTGGCTCTGCTGGTTCTGCTCCCTTTGATGCTGTGGGCTGGGACTAGGGGTGCTGGGATCAACGCTTGTGATCGGCCGCTTCTTCGAGATCAACGGTCCAGATTGTCCACTGCTCAAGCTGCTCCTTTCCGACCAGCTGCCGAGCCTCCCGGTATTCCACCGCCGAACCACCTGTAGCTGCTCCGGGCGAGGGGACCGCCTATCCAAACCAGTTTCCGAACCAAGCCTGCCACCACCATCACTGCAGCTTCGGCGAACAACAGGATTCCTATCCCCCTGCCTGTCCCCACTGTCTTCCCTACCACCCCCCTCCTTGCCCCTTCCTTGCTCCCCCACTCCTTGCTTTTGAGGCGCCTCAAAAGTCGTCTCTTGCTCCTCGTCCCCTCCGTGCCCACCCTCCTTGACTGTACCATCAACATCCATTCCTGTTGCTGCTGATTCCCCTTGCTCCTCCCGTTGGCCCTGCTGCTGCTGCTCCTGCTGCTGCTGGTTCTCCTGATGCGGGTTCTCTTGCTGTCGGTTCTCCCGCCGCTGCTCCTGCTGCTGATGTTGGTGGTGGTGCTGCTGCTGCTGCTGCTGCTGCTGCTGCTGCTGCTGCTGGTGCTGCCGACCCTGCTTCTGCTCCTCTTGCGGTTGGTGACTGTTCTTCTCAACTGTTCCCTGTACATCACTGCCCCGCATATCGTCCTCCTGTTGACCCACTTTCTCCCTTGGAACCTCTTCCTCCCTTCGAACCTCATCACCGGCAGCACCCTGTCTCTCATTCTCGCTGTTTCTCACAACAATACCCTCCACCCTCCCTCCAACCATTTCTTCTCCTTCCTCGTACTTTCCACCAATTCCCACACCCCTGTCAGCAGAGGGAATGGCATGCACTTTGTCAGTGGCTGCCTCAGCTCTTGTCTTTCGGCCAGGAATCGACGGTCGGTCTCGGGGAACCCGAAAGCCCTCGTCGTCCTTCCCTCTTGTACCTTGAGGGCCCTGGGAACAGTCCCCTGACTCTCCAGTTGACTTTCGAGTTGACTCGAAGGTCATCGCCGGCCGGTCTTGTGGAATCCGAAAGACCTCGTCGCCCTTCCCTCGTGCACCTTGAGGGCCCTTGGAACGGTCCATTGAGTCTCCAGTTGCTGCTACCATAGGTGCTGTTACAGGTGCTGCTACAGGTGCTGTTGAAGGTGCTGCCACAGGTCCTGCCACCGGTGTTGCCACAGGCGCTGCCACAGGTGCTGCCACGGTTGATGCCCCAGGTGCTTCCTCAGGTGCTGCCACAAGTGGAGTAACAGGTGCTGCCGTAGGTGCTGCCACAGGTGCTGTAACAGCTGCAGTGACAGGTGTAGTGACGATTGCAGGGCCCTGGGCTGACTGTTGAGTCGATCCAAACTCGCCCCCCAAGCCACCAGGCACAGCAGCAGTGGCCTCCAGTCCCCCCTGGCTCTGCATGCCTTGCCCGCTGCGACCCCCCTCCAGCCACTGCGATCGGATGGGGCATGCAGTGGATGGGGACAGAGAGTGGGCACACAAGAATGATTGAATGGGCATGGAGATGAGGATGGGGATGGGCATGGGGATGGGGATGGGGATGGGGATGGGGATGGGGATGGGGATGGGGATGGGGATGGGGAAGGGGAAGGGGATGGGGATGGGAATGGAGATGAGGATGGGGATGGGGATGAGGATGGGGATGGGGATGGGAATGGAGATGAGGATGGGGATGGGGATGGGGATGAGGATGGGGATGGGGATGGAGGTGAGTCGACAGTGGGGCACGATCGGAGCAAAGGTCACATGTTGGTGAAAGGACAGAGAACGAGAGGGAGGGGGATGGGGAAGGGTTGGGGAAGAGGGCAATGGAGGGGGAAACAAAGGGGTTGTGTAGATTGAGGGAGACCAATGCAGAATCGGTGCAGAGGGCGCGGTGATGGTGCAGCGGGGTTGGTGATGGTGCAGCGGGGTTGGTGATGGTGCAGAAGGTGTGGGTATGGTGCAGAAGGTGTGGGTATGGTGCATACCTGTTTCAGTAGTGCCAGTTGCTCCTGCGTCAGGAATTTCGGCAGCTGGGAGAAATTGGGCAGTTGAGAAAAATCGGGCAGCTGAGACGGGTTGGGCAGCGTATCACAGTTGTCTCTATCTGCGGCACGAGCAGCAGCAGCAGCAGCAGCAGCAGGAGCAGGAGCAGCAGCAGCAGCACCACCACCACCACCACCGCCATCAACATCAGCAACAGTAGCAGCAGATGCAATATTACCAGCAGGGACAGCAGCAGATGCAATATTACCAGCAGGGACAGCAGCAGATGCAATATTACCAGCAGGGACAGCAGCAGATGCAATATTACCAGCAGGGACAGCAGCAGATGCAATATTACCAGCAGGGACAGCAGCAGGAGAAGTAGCGAGAGGAAAAGGGAGAGCAAGAAGATGGTTGAGATGTGGAGAAGGGATTACAAAACCGCCTGATCCAATGATGTGTGCACTGCCAGCACTACCAGAGGCAGCAGGACGAGTAGCAGCAGCAGCAGCAGCAGCAGCAGCAGCAGCATCACCAGCAGCAGCAGCGCTACCAGCAGATCCGGTGGTGCCACTGCTTCTACCAGTCCACAGCTCACCGCCGTCTAGACGCCCTGTGGTTGACACACTAGACACGTTTACCTCCCCTCCTGCCATCCCTGGGTTCTTCCCCCCAGCCCAAGGAGCTCGGGAAGAGGATGTGAGGGGAAGCGGGAGGGTAGAGAAGGCGGGAGGTTGACTTGGGGCAGGATGGTATGGGGATGGGAGATGGGGATGTGGATGCTGGGTCAACGGTGCCGATCTTCGCGTAGCATCAGGAATGGACGGTTGAGATGAGAAGGATGGAACGGAGGGGGCAGGGAGGATGTCTGAGCGCATGAGCGCGTCGAAAAGATTTTGCACCCCACTCGCAATTTCAGCTGCCCGGGTGGTCAGACCGCCGGCTGCTGATTGGTCGGAAGCTGACACTGTGGTGAAGCGAGAGAGGCAGGGGAGGGGGTGATTGGTGGGTGCAGCAGAGGAGGTAGAGGGAACAGAGATAGAAGCGGAGGTGGGGAGAGGAAGAGAAGGGTTGTGCGGGAAAGGGTTGATAGGCTGGAGTGTATTTGGGAGAGAATTAGTGAGAGATGACAAAGAGGGGGAGAAAGCAGGGATTCGGCCTTGAGGGGTGGAGAAAGAGCGGGGGAATGTGGTGGAGAGCGGTGCTGGGGAAGGAAAGGGAGGGAATGGGGGGCGAGAGGAGGGGGCAGAACGGGGGGAGGAGACGGTGGAGGGAGAAGCAGGAGGGGCACGAGTGGGGGCAGACGAGCACGGAGCAGCAGCAGATGTAGAAGAAGTAGCAGCAGCAGCAGAGTGAGCAGCGGCAGCAGCAGGGAGGCCCATGAGCAGGCCAGCAGAGGAGAGTGCGTCCAGTTGAAGCATGGCCCTCGCTAGCTCCCTCTGGTCGCCCATAGCCCTCGCTAGCTCCCTCTGGTCGCCCATAGCCCTCGCTACCTCCCTCTGGTCGCCCATAGCCCTCGCTAGCTCCCTCTGATCGCCCATAGCCCTCGCTACCTCCCTCTGGTCGCCCATAGCCCTCGCTAGCTCCCTCTGGTCGCCCATAGCCCTCGCGAGCTCCCTCTGGTCGCCCATAGCCCTCGCTACCTCCCTCTGGTCGCCCATAGCCCTCGCTACCTCCCTCTGGTCGCCCATAGCCCTCGCTACCTCCCTCTGGTCGCCCATAGCCCTCGCTAGCTCCCTCTGGTCGCCCATAGCCCTCGCTACCTCCCTCTGGTCGCCCATAGCCCTCGCTAGCTCCCTCTGGTCGCCCATAGCCCTCGCTACCTCCCTCTGGTCGCCCATAGCCCTCGCTACCTCCCTCTGGTCGCCCATAGCCTTTGCTAGATCCCTCTGGTCGCCCATAGCCTTTGCTAGATCCCTCTGGTCGCCCATAGCCTTTGCTAGATCCCTCTGGTCGCCCATAGCCTTTGCTAGATCCCTCTGGTCGCCCACACTCGTCTGTGCTGTCAATGTTTGCCCCACACACATCTGCTCCTGCTCCACCAATGGCTGCCCCGTGCTCATCTGCCCTAGACACGCTTGGGCTGCATGCTCCTGTCCCAGCATCGCCTCCCTTGCACCTGTGGGCTGTCTCCTTGGGTCAACCACACTGGGGCCTTGGAATTGCCGTGGGTTTGTTTCCCTGTGCCTCTCCCCTGTGGGCTGCATCTGCCCTAGACACGCTTGGGCTGCATGCTCCTGTCCCAGCATCGCCTCCCTTGCACCTGTGGGCTGTCTCCTTGGGTCAACCACACTGGGGCCTTGGAATTGCCGTGGGTTTGTTTCCCTGTGCCTCTCCCCTGTGGGCTGCATCTGCCCTAGACACGCTTGGGCTGCATGCTCCTGTCCCAGCATCGCCTCCCTTGCACCTGTGGGCTGTCTCCTTGGGTCAACCACACTGGGGCCTTGGAATTGCCGTGGGTTTGTTTCCCTGTGCCTCTCCCCTGTGGGCTGCATCTGCCCTAGACACGCTTGGGCTGCATGCTCCTGTCCCAGCATCGCCTCCCTTGCACCTGTGGGCTGTCTCCTTGGGTCAACCACACTGGGGCCTTGGAATTGCCGTGGGTTTGTTTCCCTGTGCCTCTCCCCTGTGGGCTGCATCTGCCCTAGACACGCTTGGGCTGCATGCTCCTGTCCCAGCATCGCCTCCCTTGCACCTGTGGGCTGTCTCCTTGGGTCAACCACACTGGGGCCTTGGAATTGCCGTGGGTTTGTTTCCCTGTGCCTCTCCCCTGTGGGCTGCATCTGCCCTAGACACGCTTGGGCTGCATGCTCCTGTCCCAGCATCGCCTCCCTTGCACCTGTGGGCTGTCTCCTTGGGTCAACCACACTGGGGCCTTGGAATTGCCGTGGGTTTGTTTCCCTGTGCCTCTCCCCTGTGGGCTGCATCTGCCCTAGACACGCTTGGGCTGCATGCTCCTGTCCCAGCATCGCCTCCCTTGCACCTGTGGGCTGTCTCCTTGGGTCAACCACACTGGGGCCTTGGAATTGCCGTGGGTTTGTTTCCCTGTGCCTCTCCCCTGTGGGCTGCATCTGCCCTAGACACGCTTGGGCTGCATGCTCCTGTCCCAGCATCGCCTCCCTTGCACCTGTGGGCTGTCTCCTTGGGTCAACCACACTGGGGCCTTGGAATTGCCGTGGGTTTGTTTCCCTGTGCCTCTCCCCTGTGGGCTGCATCTGCCCTAGACACGCTTGGGCTGCATGCTCCTGTCCCAGCATCGCCTCCCTTGCACCTGTGGGCTGTCTCCTTGGGTCAACCACACTGGGGCCTTGGAATTGCCGTGGGTTTGTTTCCCTGTGCCTCTCCCCTGTGGGCTGCATCTGCCCTAGACACGCTTGGGCTGCATGCTCCTGTCCCAGCATCGCCTCCCTTGCACCTGTGGGCTGTCTCCTTGGGACAAAGTCAAACACACCGGGGCCATGGTGTGGCTGTGTGTTGTTGTTTGCTTCCCTGTGCCTCTCCGCTGTAAGAGCAACGGCAGGTGCAGCCCCAGTTGTTACACTAGCCTCAGCAGGAGTAGCTTCGCTTGAAGCAGCGGCTGCAGTGGCAACAGTGGCAGCAATGGCAGCAGCGGCAGCAGTGGCAACAGCAGCGGTGGCGGCGGCAGCAGCAGCGGAAGCAGTAGTGTTGGCTGTGGGAGCGTTTGGGAGCGAGCGGGAGAGGGGCCAGGAGGACGGATTTTGAGACGTCTCAAAAGGCGAGGGGGGCCAGGAGGGCGGGAGGAAAGCGGGAGCGCGGGGGAACGAAGCAGCTCTGAGAGAGACATGGGAGGTAAGGAATTTTGAGGGTGAGGAATTTTGAGGCGCCTCGAAACTGGGGACACGGGAGGAGGAGAGATGTGCGTTGCCGAAGGAACGCGAGCGCAAGGATGCTGCTGCTGCTGCGGCAGTCTCTGCGTTTTGAGTCGACTCAGAAGTCACTTGGGAGGGGAGGCGAGTATTGCTGAAAGAATGCGAGCGGAGGGACGACGCTGCTGCAGCAGCAGTCTCTGCGTTTTGAGTTGACTCAAAAGGGACATGGGAGGAGGAGAGGCGAGCATTGCTGAAAGAACGCGAGCGTAAGGGCGACGCTGCTGAGGCAGTGTCTGCACTGATCGAGTGTCGAGTCGTCTCAAAACGCGGATGGCTGGAGGAAAGAGAGTGAGAGGAAGCTGCTGCTGTTGCTGCAGGTGTGGCGGTCTCTCCTTGAACCGCTTGTGCTGCTGCCCTCCCTGCTGTTTGTGTGTGTGCTGCTGCCCTCCCTGCTGTTTGTGTGTGTGCTGCTGGGCTTCCTGCTGTTTGTGTGTGTGCTGCTGCCCTCCCTGCTGTTTGTATGTGTGCTGCTGCCCTCCCTGCTGTTTGTGTGTGTGCTGCTGGGCTTCCTGCTGTTTGTGTGTGTGCTGCTGCCCTCCCTGCTGTTTGTGTGTGTGCTGCTGCCCTCCCTGCTGTTTGTGTGTGTGCTGCTGCGCTTCCTGCTGCTGGTGCTGCTGCCCTCCCTGTCGCTGACGAGCCTCGAATGGAAAGGCTGCTGCTGCTGGGGGACGTGACGTGGTGGGTCTGATGGGGCACGGGAAGGATTCGAGGGGTAAGGGAGGGGATGGGAGGGAACGGAAATAGTCAGCAGAGTAAGCGTGCAAGGATGAGGACTGATGTTGGATGGGATACATGTAATTATCAGGTTTTTTAAATCGTTTACCTATTCAACCCCCCCCCCCCCCATCCCTCTTCCCCCCTCCTCTCCACTCACATCAATATCCATGGAGACTGCATCACCTATATCCTCTGCTGCCCTGGCTCCACCCTCGGACCTTCCTCTTCCTCCCGTCCTCCTCCTCTCCTGCCTTTCCTTCCTCTCCTTCCCCTCCTTTCCCTTCCATTCCTCCTCCTCTTCCTCCTTCTCCTCCTTTCCCTGCTTCTCCTCCTTCCTTGCCCTTGTCTTTTGAGGCAACTCAGACGTCTGTTGCTCCTTCTCTTCCTCCTTTCCTGCCCGCGTCTGCCTGCCCGCGTCAGGCCCCACCTTTTCTGTCAGACGCATCTGCTCCTCTCCCATTACTTCGCTCCTCTGCTCCTCTGCGTTTACATGGGACTGCCTCACCTCTCCTTTCCCTTCATTTGCTCCATTCGCAGCGTCACTGCTTGCCTCTCTACCATTGTTGGGCCCCTGTGCTGCTTCTGCATCCACCTTTCTCCCTTCTCCGCCCCCCAACCCTCCTCCTGATTCCGTCCCTTCCTTCCTTTCCTTCTCCCCAACTTCCATCTCTTCAGTCTCCTCTCCTGCTCGTTCCTCTTCTCTGCTCTCCTTGTCTTTCCGCGTCTCTCCTGCCCTCTCCTCCCTTGCCTGTAGCTCTTTTCCCCTTTCCTCGCCTGCCCGTGTCTCTTCTGTCTTCTCTCTTTTGTCTTTCCCCAAACCATTCTCTTCCTCTCTTCTTAAAGCTGGCCCTTCTCCTTCTTTCTCCCTGTGCCCTGCATCCCTAATACCATTCCCGTCCCCATCCCCATTCCCACCATCTGCCATCCCTTCCCTCCCTTCCCTCCCTCCTTGCAAGCCTTCTATCTCGCGCTCATCCTTTCCTCCCTTTACTCTCTCCTTCTCTCCCTTCTCTCCCTTCTCTCCCCCCTCTTCTTCCTCTTCCGTTCTTCCTCCCTCTCTCCCACCTCCCTTCTCTTTCCCTCCTTCCTTCCCCCCATCTCCCTTTCCCTCCTCTCCTTCCTCCCCCTCTCCACCCTTCTCCTCCCCTCCCTCTTCCGCCTTCCCTGCCGCCTCCTTCTCCTGCCCCCCATCCTTCCCCCTCGCGCCCTTCCCCCCCCTCCCCCCGCCCCCATCCTTCCCCCCTTTCAACGACTGTATATACCTCAGCAACAAGGTAGGCTTCCCCCCAACCTTCCCCCCAGTCCGTCCAACGTCCTCCTTCCGCCTCACAGTCGAATTCCAATGATTCTTCACGTTGTTATCCGTCCGCCCAGGCAGCAGCTTCGCAATCTCCGCCCACTTGTTCCCCACGCGCTTGTGCGCCTCTATCAGCGTCTCCTCCTCCTCCTCCGTCCACGCGTCCTTCTTGATCCCCAGCTTGAGGTGGTTGTGCCAGCGCTCGCGGCACTGCTTCCCCGCGCGCCCCTTGAGGTGCGCTGCTATGGCGGACCACCGCCGCGCCCCCCCCCTCTCCACCAGCCGCCGCAGAATCTCGTCCTCCTCCTGCTCTTGGGGGGGGAGGGGGGAGAGAGCAGGGTGAGAGAGGGGGAGGTGGGTGGTGAGAGGGAGAGAAAGAAACCTTCCATGTGAGCTGCAGTAGCAAGCAAGAAGGGCAGCACTGCGCTCCTCCCCTCTCCACCAGCCGCCTCAGAATCTCGTCCTCCTCCTGCTCTTGGGGAGACGGGTGGGGAGAGCGGAAGGAAGAGAAAATCTGCAGACGGTTTTGAGGTGCAACAATGAAGGTACGTACTACTGTCAACCGCACCCTGTGACGCAGGAACGTACCGGCGTCCACTGGCCTTTAGCGTTCGTGCTGGCGCGGGGAGCGCCATCTCCGCCCTCCTCCTCCTCCCCCGACCCCTCCCCATCGCTCTCCCCTTCCGCCATCCCCGCGCCTCCTCCCCCATCCCCCACACCTCCGCTCACACACCCCCCGCCCGCCATACCCCCGCTCACGTACCCTCCCCCTGTGCTTCCCCCTCCTAGCCCAGACCTGGGGAAGCAGCCATGTGCGCTGCTAGCGCCACCCTGTGCGCTGCTAGCGGCGCCATGTGCGCTGCTGGCAGCAGCGGCGGCGGCAGCAGCAGCCAGAACTGCAGACAGGTCGTGGCAGCCCGCTAAAACCCCCAACCCCTCGCCCGCCGTCAGTCCCAGCCCCTCACCTGCCCTTAACCCCAACCCCTCTCCTGCCGTCACTCCTTCTAAACCCAACCCCCTAGCCCCTCCCCAGCTTCTCGTCGCTTGCTGCCCGCCGCGATCCTGGTTCCAGGGCTCGGGATTCGTTGGCATCTGCCCCAGCTGCCCGTAAAAAGACGGCAGCGGCTGATTCCCTGCACCAGAGTGAATCATGTCAGAGTTGGTTGGTATGGTAGCTGAGTGGTATCCGCTCCCGGTGCTGCTCGATACAGTACGGTCGGGAGGGAGGCTATTAGCGAGCCCTGACATTCTCATCAGCTCTAGTAATGTCAGGTTACCACCTGCCCCAGTTCCCCCCTCCCTCCCTGCAGGTGACACCTGGGGGGGAGCTGCAGAATGCCGCTGAAAAGCACCCCCTCCTGCTGGCGCCTGGAAAGCACCCCCCCCTGTTAGCGCCTGAAAAGCCCCTCCCCCGAGTAGCGCCCCCGCCAGCAAGCTTTCCAGCCTTCCCCCCGCCATCCCCGCGCCTATCATCGTTGCGCTGTCCGCGGCGTATCCTCCGCCTCCCCCTGTTGCTGCATGCCCCCTGATTCTTCCGCCCCCCAGGCCTGGAGTCCCGAATTCTCCGCCAGGCAGCGCAGGCGCGGGGAATCCCCCTTGCCTTCCGCCATATCCTCCGCTAGCACTGCCTCCCCCCGCCATTCCGCCACTCCGTCCGCCCACCATGCTTCCGGACGGGGAAACAGGGCCATCAGCGGAGATAAATCCGCGGAAGGACCCTGTTGCTTGGCCTTGGGGGGTGTTGTTTGTTCCGGTTTCGCCTTGTGCGAAATAATTATCCTGTCGTGCGAGAGTACTTCCTTGTTGTGCGATAGCGCTTCCTTGTGCGACAGCACTGAGCGACCCCTGCGACTCCCATAGTCGTTGGATGTCGCGGAACTGATCGTAAGGCATCCCGAGGGAGCCTGAAGTGACGTTTCTTGCCCCTACTGTCGCCGCATTCGCCGCGTTGAACGCGTTAACTGCATTGACTGATTGTTGGGACTGCGAAGGAGCCCCCCTCGAAAACTGCGCCGGGGAAAGCGACTGCTGCTGCTGCTGCTGCTGCTGCTGCTGGGGGAAATACCGTTCACGCATTGCATTGCCAGCGATAACGCAGTTATTTTCTTGTAAAAAAAGAATATGCGCTGAGTTTCCGGAAAACAATTTATACTGGAGGATCTACCACCGCCGAGTACTCGCCAGAACTCGCGCTTCCGCGGGGATCCGACGGTAACCCTATTCGCAGTTGCAGTCGCAGCGAAATGTAACGTCATCATTGCGTGGGGATCATAGTAGTAGGCTCGAAATCTGTAGTTTGACTCACTCTAGGATCCTCGACAGGGCGCCACGCCGGTCACAGCCAAAGGTGCACGCCCCTTGCACATTTCCTACCAAATTCATTCACGCGGTTTTCACTGCTGCTCGACTTTTAATCTCCCGCGCAATTTCCAGGTTCTGTTGTGGAATACCTGTCCGCTTCAGACTATCAGGGGCGTATTCATGAAGCCGAAAAGGCAACCACTTCTGTGAAATGACCGTTCACTCTACACTTTTCAGTCGCGACTTCGACAACAATAAAATGTTTCAAGAAAGAAACCGTGCCGACAATCTCTGTTTCAAACACGCTATGGAATTTTGTGCTTGACTCTGTGACGGGGGCACTATAACCATGCGTGGCTTGGCGGGAACGAGAAATCTGTGATGTCACTGGCTGGTCTGCGTGTTGAGACATGACATGGCATGTCCCTTGAATGAAGGTCTGGGCTGGGGCGCCAGGCAACCATTGGTGAACGCGAGGGCGTGAGGTTTGATTGGATGAGATGAAAGCAGGCGAACCGTGTTGACTGGGTATCGTGTCGCGCACTGTACGACTGTTGTGTGCACTTGGACTACTGTAATTTGGTGCTGACGTGGTCGACGAGCGGATCTGGTCTGAGAATTTGTGCAATACAGTACATTGCCTACACGTGGAGGAATCAGAACCCCCAATGCTAAGCGACAGCTACCGTTACTTGATAAGCAATTGTTCGAGGCTTCGAAGACGACAAATGTAGGCGACCCAAAGTTTTGTCTGTATACGGTTATAACGGCCGTCACTGTCCAATCATTTGTCTCCATATGTTTTTCAAGTTGAAGAACCGTCCAACGGTCTTGCTCAAGAAACCACACAATAAGAAACGACTAATGTATTGTACACGTTTCCCTCCATGTACATGTTATTTTAGCTGCCGTGTGCATAGATCATACCTGTCAAATAACCAAAATGCTGCCATGAAATCCCTGGACTTCCCCTCCCCATGGGCTTTCGCACTACAGATGAATCCTTGATTCCACGATGGCTGGTAAATGGGACGGAAAAACTTACGGTTGATGAGAGAGCAATTTTTTTGCCAAAAACACCATTCAATCAAGATTTAGGATCTTCATGGGGAGAGACAGGATGAGGGGGTGGCTCTGGATTGTCAAGGTCCATGTCTAACGCTGCGTTTGGCTCTAGATGTGAAATGCGAATGGTTCCTAGAAGCTTCTCCGGGAGCTCCTCGTCTGTGTTTCCCTGCAAGTAACGTAAATAGTGTACACCATAAGCAACTTTTTACAAACCACCACAATGCAAACAGTGGATCAATAGCACATTAGAATATATATATATATATATATATATAGTGCCAGTACAATACCTGGATTAAGAATGCCATGTCGATGATGAGTGTACGGACGTATCCTAGCACGAATCTCACCACCCCATTGGCCACAGCTGATGACCCAATATCCACATCCACCTGCATTCCAGTGGTGTCATAGGGAGAGTGTGGAAACAGTACAAAAAAAACATCACTTCATACATTCAAAGAGGGCTCATGCATTACAAACAATGCCACAACATGACAATTCAACTTCCATCACATACTTGCAGATTACTGTACCTCAAAGCAGTGTACCTCAAAGCACTGTACCTCCAAGTACCGTACCTCAAAGCACTGCACCTCAAAGCACTGTACCTCAAAGCACTGTACCTCAAAGCACTGTACCTCAAAGTAGTCGGGTCCTTTGAAGTACTGCACGGTGAGAGCACCAGCAATGATGAGAGGTGTCGTCCCCACACTCCTCTTCACCACCCATGCGCCCTGCCATGTACCAGCGCCAATGGCAAAAAAAAAAAAAAAAAAAAAAAAACATCAGATTACAGTATGGCCAATACATGGAGACATGAGAGGGTGATTGCACAAGCGAGGCAGATTAAAGTGGCACATGTCTGCTGCATGGATGGTATAGCAGAGCACACCGGACACACAGAGCACACAGAGCACACAGAGCATACAGAGCATACACTCACACCCACCTGGTGGATGCAGGGAATGAGCTTGAAGCGTGTGTTGCGGAAGATGTCATCCCCGTTGATGCTGCCCCAGCATGGACCGCATGCCCGTGCAGTAGGGCAAATACACACACACCTCATAGATGCAAAACAGTGCACACGGCGCAGTGCACTCTCACACCCACCTGGTGGATGCGGGGAATGAGCTTGAAGCGTGAGTTGCGGAAGATGTCGTCCCCGTTGATGAACTGCCCTAGCATGGATGAATCTGTGGGCGGCTCCTCCATGGCCCAGTAGAACACCATGCTGTACTGCTGCGCTGCCGGCACCTGGTGGGGTGAAATTGATGTAAGAGAATGGGTGACAGGCAGAGCAATGAGCACATGTCCCCACACAGCGCCCCTCCATGGCCCAGTACAACACCATGCTGTACTGCTGCGCTGCCGGCACCTGGTGGGGTGAAATTGATGTAAGAGAATGGGTGACAGGCAGAGCAATGAGCACATGTCCCCACACAGCGCCCCTCCATGGCCCAGTACAACACCATGCTGTACTGCTGCGCTGCCGGCACCTGGTGGCATTTGTGGCATGTGGGTTATACAGGTGGTATACGGGTGATGTTTTGAGGATTGAGAGAGTATGACCATGCACGCCTCTGTGGGCGGCTCCTCCATGGCCCAGTGGAACACCATGCTGTACTGCTGCGCTGCTGGCACCTGGTGGGACGTGAGAGAATGAGAATTCAGGAGGAAAGCAGAACATGTGAGTGGGCCGCAATAAGCAGTGCCCCCTTGACGCTCATCTATGGCCGAATAGAACACCATGCTGTACTGCTGCGCTGCTGGCACCTGGTGGCGGTTGTGACATGTGGGTGGGGTATATGGGTGATGTTGACGCATGAGAGAGTGCCATGGAGGTGTTGCCAGCAACGCTCATCCATGGCCCAGTAGAACACGCTGTACTGCTGCGCTGCTGGCACCTGGTGGCCTGTGAGGGGTGTGTGAGGTATATGGTATGGGTGATGCGTTAAGGTGTGATAGAGTGCCATGTGGGTGATTCCTCCATGGCCATGAAGAAGTACGGCCGCGGTGAGGCGTCAAGCACTGCTGGCCATCGTCTTTACCCCACCTCCCCTACTCCCCCCATGCCCCACTGACACCCATTGATCCAATCACCTACCCCCCCCCCCACGCACCTGCATATTCACAATGAAAAAGTATGGCCGCGACGAGGCGTCACTGCTGGCCCACTGCCCCACCGCCCCCACTCCCCCACCGACTCACTCACTGCCCCACCTCTCCCACTGCCCCACAACCCCAACTGCCCCACCTTCCCCCCTCGCACCTGCATATTCACAATGAAAAAGTATGGCCGCGACGAGGCGTCACTGCTGGCCATCAGCTCGCGCATTCCCTGATAACCAGGCACAGGGGAAGATGGGGGTGGGAAAATGGGAAGAAATGGGGGAAAATGGAGGGAAAATGGAAGGAGATGGGGGGAGATGAGCCAAAATGGGGCTGTGTGTGACACAGATGCTACCAGAGACAGCGGAGGAGCAGACTCAGTCACATGCACAGGAGTCCGTTTGAGCTTCGCCACATGATCAATCTTCTCCACTCGCTTCAATCAATCCACAGCCACCAATCAACGTTGGTCCCACCCATTCCCACCCCGAAACCTCTACCAGCTGTGTTGCTAGATTCCACATGCGCACTAAGAAAAGCGCACACACACTCATAAGCACCACAATCAGCAAACTCACATGCACGGGGGTCCGCTAGAGCTCCACCACATGATCAATCCTCTCCACGAGTTTCAGCCAATCCACAGCCACCAGTGCTGGTCCATTTCCAAGACCTCTATCGACTGAGTTGTTACATTTACTCACATGCATGGGGGTCTTTTTAAGCTCCACCACATGATCGATCCTCTCCACGCGCTTCAGCCAATCCACAGCCACCAGCGCTGACCCATTTCCACCCATGAACCACCATAGGCGCAAAATGCACAAAAAGCGAAAGCACGCTCACATGCACGGGGGTCCGTTTCAGCTCCACCACATGGTCAATCCTCTCCACCACATGGTCAATCCTCTCCACCACATGGTCAATCCTCTCCACCACATGGTCAATCCTCTCCACTCTCTTCAGCCAATCCACTGCCACCAGCGCCATCCCTGGCTGCCCCGCACTCGCAAAGCATGCATGCCCGCACACTCACTAACAAGCACTGCAGTGAGAACACTCACATGCACGGGGGTGCGCTTGAGCTCCACCACATGATCAATCCTCTCAACGCGCTTCAGCCAATCCACAGCCACCAGCGCCATCCCCGGCTGCCCCGCACTCTGCTTCATCTTATCCCTCAAATAGCTCTTCGACCGCACTGTAAAGTTCCGAACCTCCGCCTCGCTCCAGCAGTTAATCCCCCCCATCGGCGACCCCCGGGCCAGGTTCCCCGTCTTGTACGCCCATGCCCATGGGTCTACCGAACCTGCCGCCCTTGCCGAACCAGCTAGTCGAGACCCGGTGGAGGGTCGGGAACCTAGCTGCCAGAACCGAGGAGAGGCCACAGGGAGAGTTTCAGTCAGGAGAGCCTTAGCAGCAACTGCTGCGTCTCCTGCTGCTGTTCCTGCTCCTCTTGCTCCAAAGAAACTGCTAGTGCCGGGTAAGGGCTCTGATACAGTGCTCCCGGCATCGCTACCGCTGAACTCACCACCCATAACGTCCCCACTGCTGCCTCTCCTCCTCTCTCGTCCCACCCCCTCCACCTCATCAAACCCCTCCCCTCCCCCTTCTGGTATTGGTCCAATCCGCCCGTCCTCCCGCTCCCGCCTGCTCCCCTTCCTCCCACCCCCTCCAAGCTCCCTCCCTTCTGCAGCCGCTACAGCCGCGGCTGTAGCAGCAGCTGTAGCCTGCTGGGTATCCCTCAACCCTAGCAGCGCAGCCAGTGAATCCCCCCTCGTCTGCGCGAAAAACTCCCGAATGCCCGCAACCCTCGACAGCAGGTAGAAATGCACTTCGGTCGCAACACCGCTGCACATCGGCAGCAACCCCTTTGCATCCATCTGCAACACGTGCATCACTACCGACCGTCCGATCGCGGACGGCCCCGCTGGGGCGATGATAAACCCTCCGTAGGTGAGATTGGCACGCACACAGCCCATGACAGGGGGGCATAGGGGGTGCTCCATGGATTGGTAAAGGACCACGTAGCAGCCGTCGCCTGTGCGCTGCCAGTAGCGCCGCAGGCACACGTCGCGCGCTGTGAGGGTGAAGGGGCCGAAGCCGACTGGGAGCGGTCGGAAGCGGTAGTGGATGCAGTCCGTGTGACCGTCTTGAGCTTCTACCATTCGTGCACCCCCGTATGCCACGTCCCACCTGGTAACAGAGAAGCACAGGAAGGGGGAGGGACAGGAGTGGATGCAGTCTGTGGGCTAGGTCTAGGGATGACTGGTAGTAGGCAGAAGCAGTAGTGAATGCAGTCTGTGTGGCCGTCTTGTGCCTCTACCATGCATGCACCACCATATGCCACGTCCCACCTGGTGAGAGACGGCAAGAGAAGAAGGATTGGGACAGGGCAACGGGCAGAGGGCGGAATTGGTAGTGAATATAGTCAGTGTGGCCGTTGTTGTGGGAGGAGGAGAGGTCGAGCACGAGTCAGAAGACGACGGCATCGCTGGGAGCATTTTGAGTCGGACTCAAAATTTACCAGGAGATCAGCAGGGGCAACTTGCAACTTAGAAAAGTAGGAATTAGAGGCGTACTCGTTGCGCGAGGAGGAGAGGTCGAGCACGAGTCGGAAGACGGCGTCACTGGGAGCGTCCACTGTTCCCACGGCACTCAGACACGGCAGACTGCCACACATGCCCGCCTGCCCGCGCTCCTCGTTCAACTCCTCAAAGAAGCGCAGCCCTGGAAAGACAGGTGGACAGGCGATAAGAGGCAAACGGAGGCAGCAACAGGAGGTGAAGTGAATCAATGTGCGAAGTGCAAGGCGATCAAAGAGCCCTTTGCCTTGTGGAAGGCGATCAATGTGCGTAATACCCGTTCCCTGAAGGTTCTTCTCACATGAACCCTGACGAGCTCTTCATGGTGTTCATGTGAGTCGTAAACCTAGAGAGAGAGAGAGAGACCAGCGATACAAAGGTTGCTGAATGAACGGGTAAGGCTGCACACTGAGTTCCCATAGCCATCACCCACCGTTGGATAGCTTGATGAGGCGCCAGGAGCCGTCGGATGCGATCCCTGATGCTGTTGATGCACTGCGCATCGCCACCATGGCCTCCAGCATGCCGCCCAGCTCCATTGGGGGGCCTGGGGGGAAGGAGGATGAGAGTGCAGCACACAGAAAGGGAGGCATGCATGGCATCAAGCATGCTTCGATGTGTGCAATGCACTGCCCTGTCCTGCACTTCGCATCGCCACCATGGCTTCGAGAGCATGCCGCCCAGCTCCATGGGAGGCCCTAGTGTGAGGAAGAAACAACGGACGCATACGGGGGGCAGGCAAGCATGCTTCAATGCGTGCACCGCTCTGCCTTGCCTCCTCTAAGAGCATTCAATGCTGCAATGCCTCGAGCATTCCTCCCAGCTCCATGGGGGGCCTTGGGGGGTAGGAAGATGATTCGCAAGGGCAAAGGGAAAGGTTGGCAGCAGGCAGCATGGAACCACAGGGAAGCAGACCTACCGTAGTCAATGGAGCCTCGTCTGTCGAGCAGCACTCGCTGCGGTGTTGGCAAGTCGTGTTTTGAGGCCTCAGATGAAAGCACTCCTACTACCAACCAATAAAGCCACTTCTAAGCACACCTACCAAAGCCAATGGAGCCTCGTCTGTCGAGCAGCACTCGCTGCGGTGTTGGCAAGTCGTCTGCTCCCATCTCGTCCCCGTCGAATGGCTCACTGCTGTCCATAGAGTCACGACAGCTGGTGGGGATAAATGGCGGGTGGAGGGGAGAATGGGAAGAGATGGAATGGAGGGTGGCTAAGTGGAAGGGAACGGACCTGCACGACGGACGTCCTCTCCCACCATCTCATCCCCGTCGAACGGCTCACTGCTGTCTATTCTGCTAGGTTATTGAAAATGGGTAACTTGCTGTCATAAGTAGTGCAGTGAGGCAAAAAATCAGGTGCTGCGCGTTGAGCACGTGAGGGGTGAGGTGAAAATTCGCATTGTTCCTTGAACAAAGTGACTTTTGAGTCGACTCAAAAGTCAACTCGCATTGTTCCTTGAACAGAGTGACTTTTGAGTCGACTCAAAAGTCAACTCGCATTGTTCCTTGAACAGAGTGACTTTTGAGTCGACTCAAAAGTCAACTCGCATTGTTCCTTGAACAAGACAGCGGTGCTGGTTCTGGATTAGAGTGCAGTGCATGCACGACATGGTGGGGTGCGGGTGAGAAATGGAATGCAGGACGACATGGTGGGGTGAGGTGGCGTGTGGGTGAGAGAGGGAACGCACGAGGACATGTTGGGGTGTGGGGGCGTTTCCCCCTCCTCCTCGTCCGATAGGCTGTTGGTGCTGGTGGGGCGAGTGAGCGGCATTCTGATAGTGGGCGCCACGTTCTGGTGTGGATGAGTGGGAGAACACCACGAGAGACGGGAAACGAGGGCGTGAAAGAGAAAAGAGGGGTGAGGGGGATGTTTCGAGAGCATGTAAAGCATCCGTCCTCGTCTGACAGGCTGTTGGTTGCTAGTGGAAGCAACTTCCTGATCGTTCATGTCATGTGCAGTGTGAGGGAGAGGACGAGAGGGCAGGAGGGAGGCGGAAGCAGGACACGAGCACAAGACCATGGGCGAGCAAGAAGAATTGGGAGAGAGGGGCAGCAAGGAGAGGGTGACCTGCGAGGAGGAGGCGATGGGGAAGCTGTTTCTGCCGGTCTCACAAGCACAATCACGTGATGCTAATGGATGATTTGCACCGCTCAATCTCCTACTGCTGCTGTGCTCACATGTTCTATTGTCTCCCGAATGGCTTGCATTGCATCCACACTGCCACTAGCTTTGAGGCGCCTCATTGAAGCATGTTATGCTATGCACCACAGAAATTTCTAATGCTGTGCTCACATCACACGCTCTACTGCCTGCTGTGCTCACATGCTCAATTGTCTCCCGGATGGCTTGCATCCACACCGCCACTAGCTTTGATTGAGGCGCCTCATAAATGCACACTATGCACCACCATAGCTCACATGTTCTATTGTCTCCCTGATCGCTTGCATCCACACCGCCACTAGCTCAGGGTCCTTGGTTCCCACCTGTAACAGGACAGGGGGCGGGATGGGCGCATAGGAGCATGGGAGGGGTGCAGAGGAGTACAGGAGGGGAAAGAGGAGAACGGGAAGGCAAAGAGGGCCAGAGGAGGGCACAGAAGAGCATTCAAGCAACAGTAGATGCATGCATGGATAGTGTCAAGTGGGAAAAAACGGATGATAGAGAGTGCATGGTCACCCATGAGCAAGGCAAAGAAAAGGAGCCATTCATCATGCTGTAAGGGAGTACACCCACCAGACACGGCTTGGGAAGCTCTGGGTGTATACAGAAGGTGTAGAGCTCCTGGCAATTGACAAGAAGAAACAGTAGAGTGTGCAGAAAACAGAGGAATGTCAGGAGCAGCCCTGAAAGGGTCAGAGCTATTGAGGCACAAAGCTCCAGAATTTCATAAGCAGCGCAACCACAGGCAGCGCACAAGCAAGCAACACACAAACGTGTAGCACAGAAACAGGCAGTACAGGTGTGACCTTGGTGTTGGTGGAATCTACTTTTGAGGCGCCTCAAAAGCAAGCATCACACAAACGTGTAGCACAGAGACAGGCAGTGCAGGGGTGACCTTGGTGTTGGTGGAAATCCGGCCTGTGTCCTCCACACGACATCTGGGCGTGAGATCAAACTCCTTCACCGGAATCTGTGTGGCGTGTGTGGCAGGGAACAACAATGCGGGAGGGAAGGGGGGCGTTGAGGGGGAGGAGAGGGTGGGGACAAGGGGAGGGGGGAAGGGAGAGGGGAAATGGGGAGGGGGATAGTGGTTTGGGGAAAATGGTTGGGTTGGGGAAGGTGCTGCTTAGTCTTCCCAAGGGGGGCCAAGGGATGGTGCAGAGCGGTCAGCTCGTATCATCCCAGAAGCTATCCTCGCGAAAGTCATAACACTATCTTCCCACCGCGAGCGCACCTCGTGCTGCCACGGCAGGCTGCGGAAGTAGCTGATTTGCTGCGCGCGCAGCACGAAGTCTCTAGGTTTGAGACGACTCAGAACTCGTTACCCCATCCCATCCCCTCCCCCCCCTCTCCTCTTTCCCCCCCAGCGCGAGCGCACCTCGTGCTGCCACGGCAGGCTGCGGAAGTAGCTGACGCGCTGCGCGCGCAGCATGAAGTCTCTAGGTTTGAGACGCCTCAGAACTCGTTACCCCATACCATCCCCCTCCCCCCTCCCCCCCCCTCTCCACACTCCTCCATCGCGCACCTCGTGCTGCCAGGGCAGGCTGCGGAAGTAGCTGATGCGCTGCGCGCGCAGAACGAAGTAGCGCCGCGCCCAGTGGTGGCCGAACGGCCGCGACTTGGACTGCTTGTACAGCCACCCCATCAGCTTCACCTCCCGCGACATCTGCTCGATCGCTGACGTGGACAACCCGCCGCTGGGTCTCCGCCGGGTCCTGCGGAATGAGATAGGTGCGAGGTGAGGTGAGGAAAAGCGGTTCGGATTTCTAGTGTTGAGACTGCTTGTACAGCCATCCCATCAGCTTCCCTTTCCACGGCATCTGCTCGATCGCTGACGTAGACAAACCGTCGCTGGGTCTCCGCCGGGTCCTGCGGGAACAGATAGGTGCGACGGTGGAGGGGAGGCTTGTTAGAGTGTGGGACCTGGTCAAACTTTCTCAACGCTTCATCTCCCGTGAAATCTGCTCGATCACTGATGTGAACAGCCCGCTGCTCGGTCGCCATTGGTTCCTGAGGAAACAGATTGGTGTGGAGATGGAAGGTTGCTGAAATGCAATATCTGATATAATCCACCCCCAGCTTCATCTCCCATGATATCTGCTCGATCGCTGACGTGAACAGGCCGCTGCTAGGTCTCCGTTAACGTCTGAGGAAACAGAAAGGTGGGTGAATAAGAAGCTTGTCTAATGGTTCCCTCTGATAACCCTAGTTACTGATTAGCGATCCGGGAAATTGCAGAGGATTGCAAACCAGAATGGATAATTCGATTCCGCATAAATGCCTAACTCGCAAAAGCTTCTCCAATCCCCCTTTCGGGTCTGTTCAATTATCACCTTCGGTCGGACCCCGGCTCTGACTCGCCGCGAGGGAGTGATGAGCTCCTCGCCCTCTCCTCCCCATTTCCCGGTGTCGATTCTAGGCTCGCCATCGTCGCCCCTGTACAATCCGTAATGAGTCCTTTATACCCGAGGTCGTATTACAAGCCTCGCGATCTTTCTGATTGGAGCTATCATGTCAACGAGACGTCAGGAACCTGGTCTGGGCTCACTGCGGACCAGATTTCGACAGGCGAAGAGATGATTTTAAAACCCAGGGTCCACAGGTTTCAAAGGTAGGAAGGTTGGTTGGACTTAGTGACAAAACCAAAGGTAGGAAGCTTGGTTGGACTTTGTGACCCAACCAAAGGTAGGAAGGATGAGGCAACTTCGGGATACTTGAGACTCCGGTTTTAAGAGCCCGTATGGAGAGGATATATTTTAGGGCTTGCAGCGGTCGGAACAGAATCAAGTGATACTTGGGAGAGGACAGACTAACCGCTCCGGAACGTCGATACCTTCGTATTGCAACTACGATGCCGTTAGCTGACTGAAGTCTGGGCCTCGATAACAGACCAAGTCTAGGCGGGAGCTACAAAAAAAAAAAGCCTTCGGTTCAGTACGGTGCTGGACGATTTGAAACTATTATCTGGACGTCTGAAGCGGTTGTGATGGACCAAATGAAACATTTGGGATCGCACACCCAAAAAGTGCACAGGGAGCTCCACAATTGTGGGACAGGGCGGGTCACAGCGGCGACGATCCCGAGATGGAGACTCTTGCCTTGAACCAGATCGAATGGCTGGAATTCATCAGATGGGTGGAGTTCCTTAGGCGCACAGAGTAATGGCTCCTGCTTCGGTTTCGTGAATTGTGAATTGGGTGCTTCCTGCACTTGGCTGGTCACAGAAATAATTGTCGGTGACTCGGCAAAGTCAAACTGGTTCTGTTCAGGAGGATAGTTGTCCGGTTAACTCGTGAAGGTAGAAAGCACAAGGAGTTTAACATCGCTAGAAAAAGCTTAGCAGTTTGGTGTACAAAAGGCGCAAGCACTCCTCTTTTCCTTCTTCAACGGCGACACGATTCAACTCTGAGTTCCCTTCTGCGTTTAGGGTTAGTGAACTCTGAAACCCTCGCACTTATGGACGTTCACGATATTTCCCTCGCCATGCAGGCTTCACTTCAGCTCCGAACCGCGTTTCTGGTCCTCCACGTCTGCAAGTTGCAGCCATTAAAGGCGCCAAAGTTGCCTCGTAGAGGAAGTGGCACAGCCACTAGTATCAGCATTAATAAATATATAACGTACAGCGCAGTTCACTTAGAAAGCTTCAGGTGGAGAGTTGGACAAAGAGAGTCCTAATTTCCATAGGCCCGAGTTCCACAATATAAGTGGAATTATCAATGTCACGGCCTGTTATAGCCTCCACATCCACACCTCCTTCACTTTCATCGAGCTGCCACGTTAAAGGGGGTCGCATGCTTGAGCGTTCTTGGTTTGCCATGAGACTTAGCTCAGTCACCTTCAGAACCTGGGGTAGAGACAACAAGAAAAACAACACAATGGTACGATGGTTGCATGTTGTGAAGATAAAGAACACAGACGAGGGTGACGTGTAAATCGTACAACAATGACATTACACTCGCGAATGGAAAATGGCAAGTCCTTTACCACAGCAAGGCAGCCCACCTCTCGACCGGCAAAGAGCTGCCGGAGTTTCACTGCTGCGAGCCGAGAAAACACTGGGTGCTCTTGAGCCTGTGGGAGTAAGTTGTATGTTCGCCAGGAGGGAGAGAGCGGGGAGGGAGTGTGGATGTGATGGGTGAGGAAGCAAGAGAGGTTGGAGGGGGGATGACTCGCCTTGCAAAGGCACTAACATTATAACACAATCGAATATTCAGGATGTGTATCAGCGAGGGCTGACTGAAGTGCCACATGGTATGCTCCTAGAGTACCCTTCACATACCTCGTACAGGTGAGCCAGTCGCAGGAGAATTGCTCCTGGTGATACCTCCTGTTGGACGAACACGTGGGCGGCGAAGATGGGAGCAGGACAAAAACACACACAAACACACAAACAGAACTGTAACATACACGTGTATTGGGAGCGAGCTAGGAACAGCATGGACGGAAGGATATAAATTCTGGCAGAGGATGTCTACTGGATATTATTAGCAACTTAAGCTATTATTCTCATCAAGTGTACCTCCAATGTCGTTATAGCCACATTTCGAGGCAGCTGGTAGCTAGCTGAGGGTGCTGCCGCCTTCCCTCTGGTGCTGCCACGTGTCCCTGCCCTTGCCACCTCCTGCTGAGCGCTCTGGAAGAGGGAGTGGCGCCACAAGAACCCCGTCGCTCCTGTGCTGTCAGCAGCAGGTTCAGCAGATGTGCCAGAAACGTCGGTTGCAGCAGGGTCTGGAGTGTCAGCTGCAGCAGTGGCAGCAGCAGCTGCTGCTTCTGCTGCCTCTGCTGCGTCCGCTGCTTCTGTTTCTGCTGCTGCCAGATCCTCAGTCGACTGAAGAGACGAAGGAAATTGAGAAGAGAGAAGAAGCGCATGAGGAGGGAGTGTGGAGGAGAGCAACAGGCAGAGGAGGTGGACACAGCAGTAAGTGAGTGTGAACCCTCCGCCCTCACCTCCCTCCCACTGCATACGCTGCCCTGCACACACACACACACACACACACACACACACACACACACACACACACACACACACACACACACACACACACACACACACACATCCCCCCTTCTCCCCTATCCCTTGCCCTCCCCTTCCCAACCACACAAACCTCAATCTCTCACCTAGACAGAGAAAACGCTGCAGGGGAGAGAGCAGGCACTGAGTGTGGTCGCCTGATGCCTGCTGTGACATGTGAGTCAACTCAGAAGCCATCCCTCACCTCCTTTGAGTCGACTCAGAAGAGATCTCTCACCTGTTTTCGAGTGGACTAACAGCCCATTTCTCACCTCGACAGCGAAAGCTAGCTGCAGAGGGGACAGCATCCGCTGGCTGTGGTCTCTCCACCAGAAAGCCCCCGCTGCCGCCCCGCCTGATACTTGCTGCGACCTTTGAGCCAACTCAGGAGTCATTGCTCACCTCGACAGCAAAAGCGAGCTGCAGCGGGGACAGCATCCTCTGGGAGTGATCTCTCCGCCAGAAGGCCCCTGCTGCTGCCCCGCCTGATGCCTGCTGTGGGGGTGTGCCTGGCCGTGCCCGTGTGTCTGGCAGCACTGCGAAGCGGAGTGATCCCACCACCTGGACGCCCAAGGGAGGGAAGTGACTTGGGCTCCGGTTTACAGGCAAAGAAACAATGTTGACTCGACTCAAAAGGTGACCATCACCGCGAAAGGTGACCTCAAAAAGAGAGAACGATGTCGATCAGCGTCCAATGTTCAGAATTTGCGCTTAAATGCCAATTGATTTTTTGTTATATAGGCGCATTAGAACTTACGACAAGGTGGTAGCATTTATCCTCCACACAGACATCTTCGTTTAACGGCTCTCCAACTCCCTTGTTGTCCACCGTATCCAAGCGGCTGGAAATTTGGATAGCGGGATAAAAATATATATATTTAAAAACGACAAGCATTACAAAAGTTGCACGTATCACAGCAGAGGCCATTTTGACTGCAATTTAAACAGTTGACCCAGGCTGAAAATCAGGCCTCTGCTACAGGCGCTTAACCTTGCAGCATGAGTTGGGGACCTACGCTGAAACAATGCCGCTAGTACGCCGATACTTCAGGGGCTCACCGGTGCAGCGTGAAGCTCACCGGTGCAGCGTGAAGCTCACCGGTGCAGCGTGAAGCTCACCGGTTTGCAGCGTGAAGCTCATCAGTGCGGTGTGAAGATCACAGGTGCAGCATGAGTTGAGTTGTAGGCTCACCGGTGCAGCATGAGTTGAGTTGTAGGCTCACCGGTGCAGCATGAGTTGAGTTGTAGGCTCACCGGTGCAGCATGACTTCGAGCTGTCCGGCTGCCAGGCTGGCAGCACCGGCTGCTCGGTCCACCAGCAGCGACAGCTGTGCCTCGCCATCCCCGATGAACGCGCCCACCGTCACCTGCGGGAGGGATGGGGGTGATGGATGGGAGAGGGGTGGGAATGAGGGTGAGAGAGGGGCGGGAGTGAGGGGTGGGAGTGAGGGGTGGGAGAGGGGGGAGAGTGAGGAAGCAATAAGGACTTCTGATGTGCCTTGGGGGAGAAGATGCAATAAGAACTCACTGGGTAGAAGTTCCCTGCTATGGGGTCTTTGACTGAGCAGAATTTGGAGCTCAATACTGGCGTGAGTTGTTTGAGAGAGGACCTTACTTCTGAGCATTTGTGTAAGTGAGTTACTCACGGGGTAGAAGTTCCCTGCTATGGGCTCCTTGACTGTGAGGGTCCAGTCAGGGCGAGAGTCACGAACCTGCAGGACAGCACGGTAGGTGGGAGCGAAGTGAGAAGAGGTGTAGGGGGCGGGAGAGGTGTAGGGAGGGGGAGAGGTGTAGGGAGGGGGAGTGATGGGCAAACGGCAGAGAGCAGGTCAGGGGAGAGCCAAAACCAAGAGGATGATACTCTTTTAGAAGAGAAGTGAACAAGAGGCTGTACAAGCTACAGAGGAAAGGCATACTTTGATATATTTGACCTGTTCATATCCTACCAATCCGCTCTATGATATATCCTCCATATAAGCTCACTCGTTTGAGGTAGTCACGGCCGTTGGAGTCCGTGTGAAAGATATCGCCGCTCTGAATGGAAGAGGAGAAAGAGGCAACGACCTCTTTCCCCAGGGACCCATCCTCAACGAGGGGGCCTATGGAGTAGCCAAGCTCGGCGTAATTCTCCCCCGGGTAAACTCGATACACCTGCAGGGGAGACACGACACAAAGTGAAAAAGGTATGACGCGAGCACCCAAGTTCCATTTAGTTCTTTCTAGACTATGTACGATGCATACGCAAGGAAGACGACATATCAGTTGGTTAAGAGGCACTCAGAGACGCACACCCCCAATCCAAGGAACTCAAGCCCTCCGCAATCCTTCCCCGGACACCCCCCGTGTATCTGCAGAAACGGCAAGACATTGGACTGGTGAAGAATACACGAAAACAATCCCAGAGCACCCGAGCCGAGCGGTGCACAGTTCTCTCTAGAGAACCTCGGAGCCAGAGCACCTTAGAGGCAGAGAACCTTAGAGGCAGAGAACCTTAGAGGCAGAGCACCTTAGAGGCAGAGCACCTTAGAGGCAGAGCACCTTAGAGGCAGAGCACCTTAGAGGCAGAGCACGTCTATTCACCGCATCGCCTCACCTCGGACACGTCACGCGCCACCTGGCGGTGAAACTCCTCCACGATGGGCCCTCGCAGCACGCGGATCGGCACCCTCTGCTTCCTGCGGAACGGCAGCGCACCGTCTGCTGTGGGCTTGAAGATGTATGCTCCTGACTGGAGGGGTGGGGTGGGGGGGAGAGTAGGGGATGCAAAAACAGGGGGGTGTTGAAATATGTGCAGAGTGGATTGTGATGGGGACTGGAAATAAGAGGTGAGGAGAAAGTAAGGAGGTGCAAGTGATGTGATAAACAGAAGGCGGATAGCAGGAAAGTGAGGGAACAGTGGCATGCATGCAACAGCAGGAATTAACACGGAAAATGAGGCATGAGCGCATAGGAGGTGGGGGGCAACTGAGGTGGAGGAGGTGGGCGGGCAACTGACAAGTGACAACTGACAACGGACAACTGAAAACGGACAAGTGGAGGGGGACAACTGACCTCTGCAGATGAGTAAAAGAGCATTTCGCTGCTGATGTTGGCTGCTGCTAGCTGATAGCACCGCAGCATCAACCGGGGCATAGGAAAGCAAAGGAGAGAGGGCACAGGGAGAAGAAAAACAATGTATTGCCGGCAAGAGTGAAAGTTGCAACACATTGGATTCTAAAGTTGCAATGGCATGTCACATGGAAGGGGCATCGCAGGTGGAAGGGGCATGGCACATGTAAGGGGCATGGCACATGTAAGGGGCATGGCACATGTAAGGGGCATGGCACATGTAAGGGGCATGGCACAAGGAAAGACATGGCACAAGGAATGACATGGCACAAGGAAAGACATGGCACAAGGAATGACATGGCACAAGGAATGACATGGCACAAGGAATTACATGGCACAAGGAATGACATGGCACAAGGAATGACATGGCACAAGGAATGACATGGCACAAGGAATATCATGGCACAAGGAATGACATGGCACAAAGAATGACATGGCACAAGGAATGACATGGCACAAGGAATGACATGGCACAAGGAATGACATGGCACAAGGAATGACATGGCACAAGGAATGACATGGCACAAGGAATGACATGGCACAAGGAATGACATGGCACAAGGAATGACATGGCACAAGGAATGACATGGCACAAGGAATGACATGGCACACATACCGTGGCAAAGGCCTTGCCATTCGGCTTGATGAGCTCAGCACGTGTCATTCCACGAGCAGCCTTGGAGAAATAGACACGCGCTGCCGGCCGACCAGCCACCACCCCCCCAAGAACTATCTCATCCTCCTGACCCACACCATCACCCACCTCCTCCTCCTCCTCCTCTCCCTCCCCCGCCTCCCCTCCTTCCTCCCCTCCAGCATAGCCCTCCTCCCCTTTTGCCTCAACCCCTTCCTCCTGCCCCTCCTCATACCCTTCCTCTTCTGCCTCCCCTTCCTCCCCTCCCTCCCCTCCTTCCGCTCCCTCCTCATAGTCATCCTTCTTTGCCTTCTTCTTTTTCTTCTTCCCCTTCTTGCTCCTCGTGTTCCGTCCCCTCTGCTTCTTTGGTCCCAAGATCCAGTCACTGCTGCTCACTGCTGCCCCCACAGCTCCTGAAAAGGGGAGAATTTGAGAGAAGCATTGTAACAAGAGGTGAGAGGTTCAGAAATCAAAGATACCCACCTCTGAGAAAGCTCAGCGAATGGCATACCTGGCTGGGCTGCAATGAGGAACAAAGTGGAATACCACAGCACGGAACACCACTGATATCACCCCCTGTTGCTTCTCGGGAGGAGGTGCGCTGGCGCCTGCATGCGGTTCTGCGTAGACCGCACAGATGACCCACTCTTCACAAAAAAAAAAAAAAAAAAGTCAAACCTGGCTGGGCTGCAGTGAGGAAGAATGTGGAGTAGCCCAAAGGAGGCACCTCAGCACGGAACACCACTGACATCACCCCCTGCTGCTGCTCCACTGGAGGCACACTGGCGCCTGCATGTGCTGCTGCGTAGAACGCGCGGATGACTGGACGAGGGAGGAGCTCTGGGATGAGCTGTGATGGGATGGGCTGGTGTGTTGAGTCTGTGACAATGACCGAGGGAGCGGAGACCTGATGGCAGGGGGTGGTGGGTAGGGCGACAGGAGGGAGAGGGAAGAGTGGTGGGGAGAAGGGGAGAGCGGCAGGAGGGGGGAGAAAGGGAGAGCGGCAGGAGAGGGGAGTAAGGGAGAGCGGAAGGAGGGGGAAGAAAGGAAGAATGGAGGGGAGGGGGGCATGCTTGGGTCAGCAGTAGCGGATGGTTGCATGAAAGAAAAAGTGAGGGATGAGGTGTAATAGCACAGAATGGTGGGTACAGTTGGTGGGGATGATAGAGGGAGTGGAGTGGAGAGCAGAGACCGGATGGCGGGAGGGCGGGAGGAAGGAGGCGGTGCTGAAAGAAGGAGACCAGGGGGGATGTGGGATGGGAGGGGGAGGGGAAGAGAATGATACTGGGAACGGGTGGGAGGGTGCGAGGACCAGTGGAGCACATAGTGAGTTAAAATTCGAAAGCAGGTGATTTGCGGAAATCAGAGCAAAAACAGGTAAGGGCTCATTGCTTGAATATCACCTGCTGAAACCCAAAAGGATGCTGGAGAGAGGAGCTTACTGGAATGCGGATGACTTCAGTGCGGGCCCAGGCAAGAGAATTGAAGGCTACAACTACCTGATCCAAGGGAGGGATGGAGGGGAGTGGTTTTGGGATGGGACGAGCGGTGATGGGATGGCATGGCATGGCAGTGCGCTGTCAGCTGAATGAGCATCTGCTGGTGAAGCAGAGTTAACAGTCACAATCCTCCTAATGAACAACACGCCACATGCACAACGCACCAGAAGACGTGGTGGGACTCACCAGAGGGTCAATTAGCTAGGGGGTCAACTTACAACGGGTCCAAGTTACCAGGAAGATTGACTGATTGAGGACTCACCAGCATCTTGCCGGGTGCAAGACCAGACTGCGATGGAGGGCAGAAGGAGATGTTCAGCAGAGGGCACTGCAGGGAGGACGCGAGGGGGAGAGAAGGACGAGGGGCTTCTGAGAATTCTCAAAAGTGACTCTCCGTGATCAAAGCCAGAATGCGATGGAGGGCCGAAGGAGATGTTCAGCAGAGGGCACTGCAGGGAGGACGCGAGGGGGAGAGAAGGACGAGGGGCTTCTGAGAATTCTCAAAAGTGACTCTTTTTTATCAAAGCCAGAATGCGATGGAGGGCAGAAGGAGATGTTCAGCAGAGGGCACTGCAGGGAGCAGGAAGGGAGTAGGAAGGGGAATTCTCTGTTGAAACATGCACAAGTTTAAAGCGGAAGTTTCCAGACACACAAGTTTAAAGCGGAAGTTTCCAGACACACAAGTTTAAAGCGGAAGTTTCCAGACACACAAGTTTAAAGCGGAAGTTTCCAGACACACAAGTTTAAAGCGGAAGTTTCCAGACACACAAGTTTAAAGCGGAAGTTTCCAGACACACAAGTTTAAAGCGGAAGTTTCCAGACACACAAGTTTAAAGCGGAAGTTTCCAGACACACAAGTTTAAAGCGGAAGTTTCCAGACATCTGGGAGAGATGACAAGGAAAACAGTCCCATCAAGGGTGTAAGAGCTGCTGAAAACATGCAGCTCTTCATCAAGAAATAGGCTCTTCACCATACCAATCTCTTCTATCACCAATCTCTTCTATCACCAATCTCTTCCATCACCAATCTCTTCCATCACCAATCTCTGCCATCACCAATCTCTTCCATCACCAATCTCTTCCATCACCAATCTCTTCTATCACCAATCCTCCCACCAACCACACTTCAATCCCCACTCACCGTCTCGAGCAGCAGCTTCGGCTTCTCCTGCAGCCGCCTCCCCCTGTTGATACCTTCCTCCTGCAATGAGCCCTGTGTTTCAAGAGGAGCTCGATGTGGTGTTGCGCTGGTGTTTGCAGGCACAGCCGCATCTGGGGCAGCAGGCTCGTCACCACCAGCAGCAGTATCCGCACCAGCAGTGGCAGGTTCCTGGGGAGTGACACTAGGAGCAGTGGCAGCGGCGGCGGCGGCTGCGGCGGTGGCAGCAGCACCGGTGCCAGCTGCAGCAGGTCTATTGGCGGGAGTGGCAGCAGGCGCCGCACGGTTGGGACCTGGTGCAGAGGAGTTGGTGCCGGTGGGAGGCGAGGGAGGAAGAGGAGGCGGCGGGTGCAGAATGAGGTATGCCAGAGCGCTGGTGAGAACAGTGGAGGCCTGGCGTGGGGAGAGGAGGGCAGGTGAGGGAAAAACAGAGTCAGAGCTTCAGGCTGGGGAAAAGAGGAGGAACAGGAGAAACAAGGTGGGGGAACAAGTGAGGGAAAACTGTGGAAAAGGGGTTCAGGGATATGCATAGTGTGCGATTCCTTGGTCTGAGTGCGCTTACCACCAAACAACCTCCCAGTTCCTCACCTCCTGTGCTGCTCTGTCATCTCAGCCCCCTTCTCCCACTCCTTCCAACACCTCCAACCTCCCAGTTTCTCACCTCCTGTGCTGCTCGGTGCAGGCGGAGTGTGTAGTCGTCATTCACGTGCTGCTGGGCCGTGCCTGTGATGGCATCGTGGTGCTGTACCACTGCCACTGCCTCCCCCAGCAATGCTGTCGACGCGGCCTGAGCCTCCCGACTCCCAGCACCAGTAACACCACCATTACTATCCCCACCACCACCACCACCGGCACCAGTAGCAGCAGCAGACCCGTATCCTGCACCAGCATTGCTGTCACCGCCGCCACTCCCACCCTCTCCAGTTGCCACACTAGGCGCCTCCGAGGGATGGAAACTCATGACCATCATTCGGCCAGCGCCAGAGCCCACAAGGTTCATCCCGTCAGTGTCGCCTCCCCATGCTTGCAGGGACTCTCGCCCCACTGCTGCTTCGAGAATGCTTGCTGCCAGCAGCAGTGTGCTGCAGGAGCGCACGTAGCGCTTGAAGGCTGGGCGGGAGGAGTAGAAGCCGGTCCAGTAGGCGTGCGGTGCGTCAGCGTAGCTGCATGGGAGTGGAGGAAAGAACGGGAGGTGGGGGAGAAAAGGATGCGAAGGAGGAGGCGGACGAGTCTCATCAGCATGCTGCGTTGCGTCAAGAGCAGGCTGCAATAGCATCAGCATTGCGGTGCAACTCACGGGAAGAAGTCGCCAGTCTTGACCGGCCAGGTCTCCTCAGCTTGCTGCTTGGCGTCCAGATAGATTGAAGGCGTGGAGTAGAGGGCGTTGACCCGACCGTCCTGGCAGGGGTGAGGGGGTGGATGAACATACGTTGCACACGTTGCACGAGAGGATGGGCCTTTTTGAGTTGAATCAAGCCCCTCACAGCCCCCCCAAAAGGCGTCGACTCCCCTCACAGCCCCCCCAAAAGGCGTCGACTCCCCTCACAGCCCCCCCAAAAGGCGTCGACTCCCCTCACAGCCCCCCCAAAAAGCGTCGACTCCCCTCACAGCCCCCCCAAAAAGCGTCGACTCCCCTCACAGCCCCCCCAAAAAGCGCCGAATCCCCTCACAGCCCCCCAAAAAGCGTCGACTCCCCTCACAGCCCCCCCAAAAAGCGTCGACTACCCTCACAGCCCCCCCAAAAAGCGTCGACTCCCCTCACAGCCCCCCCAAAAAGCGTCGACTACCCTCACAGCCCCCCCAAAAAGCGTCGACTCCCCTCACAGCCCCTCCAAAAAGCGTCGACTCCCCTCACAGCCCCCCCAAAAAGCGTCGACCACATGGAGCGATACCATACATACCATACCACGTCGCACCACACCACACCATGCCACACCGTGCCACGCCGACTGACCAGGTTGACGTAGTGAATGAGCTTGTCCATGTTCTTGAACCACATGATGGCGTTGGAGTAGGCAAAGTCCTTCCCCATGGTGAACATCACGTGGTTCGACCGTGTCACCTTCGCCTATTACAGCCAAGACAGGGGGTAAGAGCGGCAGAGACACAAGGAAGGAGGGCAGTTCGACAAGGGTTTCACAGGATGGCGTTGGATTAGGCAAAGTCCTTCCCCATGGTGAACATCACGTGGTTCGCCCGCATCACGTTTGCCTGCACAGGAGGGGTGCAGATAGGAACCGGGAAGAAGCACATTCTGACAAGGGCTGTCCTGTTGCTGCTATGAGGATTGATATAGTTGGTTGGAACAAGCATGGACAAGTCTATCAAGGATGCACATGCGCAGTGCAGCATCTGACAGGAGTCGCTTTATGCACGAGCATCAGTCATACCTGCTCCCAAGCTCGCTGAACGAACAGGTCGACAAGCTTCCGGACGTTTGACTCCCCTGATTGCGGATCATCCTGTAACGAGGATATAGGAGGTCCAGGAAGGGACCAAAGCTTAGAGCTGGCGGACAGGATCATCACACGAGGATTTTGCTGTTGCCGAAGTGCAGGAGAAATTGGGGAAACTGAAAGAAAGGCGTGTTAGCATGTGCCTTTGCCTGACACGTGCCCCACACATACCCCATACATTCCCCACACATGCCCCACACATGCCCGGCATGTGCTCTGTCTTACCTGGACAAAAGGTGGGAAATTTATGTCCTCACAATCAAGGCCAGGGGGGGGATCATACATCCAGTAGAGGTGCCCACCAAACACCTGGTCAAGACAGACGGGTTGTAAAACATTTCAGGAGAAGATCGCAAGCTCAAGAGGAATATGGTGTGACAACAGCAGGCCCTGCAAGGATGTGACGTAAACCCCGAGTTTACAAGGGAGTGCTAACCTGGGCCGATTTCCCAAATGTTTTAGACGCACGCCACACAAACTCTTCCTTCTTTTCTTGTTGCCGATTGGCCATGTCTTGGTAGTCTGCCCGCGAGAAAAATATCCCATCAAACCCAGCCTGCTCAAATGCGAGGATCAACAGTATACGGGCACAAACAGCAGGATAAAAACATGGGGGAAGGGTGTGAATTGAAGGAAGGAAGGGTGGGGAGAGGGCGGAATTGGGTTGACGGGGAAACGGCGTTTGCAGAGGGGGAGGGTGGTATCAAGGGGTAGCACATGAACAGCGATCATGTATATGGGTAGACCATGTAACCTCTTCCCCATCCCCCTTCTTACCTGCGCAGTGATGAGACTGGCTTGAGTTGCCGAGTGGCCGAAGGGGTCAATCTGCCATGCGATGCGCGGCGTGACGTTGAACTCGGAGCGGAAAAGCGCAGCCCCAGAGACATCTGGTGGATCACATGTGATTCTATGTACCCCATTCCCCTTCTCACCTGTGCAGTGATGAGACTGGCTTGGGTTGCCGAGTGGCCGAACGGGTCAATTTGCCATGCAACGCGCGGCGTGACGTTGAACTCGGAGCGGAGGAAGCGCAGCCCCAGCGACATCTGGTGGACCATGTCGGTGTAGTGTGTGGTGGCCTCGTCGTGCATCACCCACCCTCCGTTGCTGCGCTCACGAGGCAAGTGAGGGCATGGGAGGGGGAAGTGGGGGAGGGGAGAGGAGAGGATGAGGCGCAGCCCCAGAGACATCTGGTGGACCATATCGGTGTAGTGGCCTCGTCATGCATCACCCACCCTCCATTGCTGTCACGTAGGTGGGAGAAAAACGATGGTCGGTGGACACGTTTCTGACGACTTGGACAAAAGAAGCATGCGTCAAGTGAGTGGTAATGAGTGAAATCCTTTTCTTGTCCATTGATCATGATTGCTAGTGTATCCCTGAGGAGCATAATAGGTAGGCTGAACCAGTTATTGATGGCAATGGCAGGAAAGAAGTCTTATAAGGATAGCAACATGGATGAGGCTCAATGGCGTACACGAATTCGAGTTGACCTGACGCAACCAGAGCATGCACTCTCTTGCGCATGTCCTCTTTCTGTTGCTGCCACCATCGATAAAAGAAGGCCTGGAAGGAACGCAGGGAGGGAGAGTTGAAAAAGAGATCTGGTTCACCTCAGATTGAAATCACATGGCTAGTCTGGAGTTGATGACATGGTAGTTTGAATTTGCGACAATTTTTTCAGCCTGAGATGGATGGTTAGCCTTGAATCACACTGACAGCGTTAGTTGAATATCCAAACGACGTGTTTCTCCTGAGATAAATGAACGCGGTTAGTCTGACACAGTATGAAACGTTACACCTGAGTTGAAACTGACATGGTTAGCATTACCAAAAAACACACGGTTGGTTTCCAACGCTGGCCAGCTCTCACCTGCTCCACCTGGATGAATTTGCGGTCAGGGTTTGCCTCGAGTTGGTCGATGACAGTCTCGATAATGTACTGTACTGATGAAACCTGGACACGTTTCACAAGCAGAAATTTAGAATAGACATGATCATGCATTAGCATACCAATCCGAAAGTAAAAGATGGTGACCCATTCTGAAGATTGTTGTCAAAAGAGCAGGTTCAGGGGAGTTTTGGGGCCTTCTTGAAGATAAACTCACGTAGTACTTGTCAATGGTGCTCGTCCATCCCAAGTCATCATGCGAATGTGCTACCAGATGCACGTTGAGCTTGCTTTCTACAGGTTCTGCGTCCGTGTTGTAACGAATCTCGTCAGTAGCAGCGCCGATCGAAGCAGAAGAGGCCAGCCAATCAGGATTGCCCACGTGTTGCGAGACGGATTGGTTGGCTGAATTCATAAAAGCAAAGAGAGACGAAGAGACGTTGGGGAACGAAATGTTCCCTCCCGTCATGATCTGCTGAATTGTCAACAGCGCAGCGCCTGCCAGAATCCCTATCACGAAAGGCAGTGCGGCCGAGGCCGTACGACTTAGAGACATGGCAGGCTATTGATAACAGCCTCGTATGGCAGCTTCAGTTACTAGACCACGCAAGACAGCAGCTAAGCTTCCGTTGGAACAACTACGGTGCAGGATAGACCATCACGCCATGGACCCTGCACAAACAGCTGAAAGCTTCACGGTCATAGCGTTCGAACCATGATGGTCATAAACTAGCTCGAGCAACCGTGAATCTCGGGAGTGCTACGACAATGGTCTGTGTCCCACCTCCGTCAGTGGCCAACCAAATTGCTCGACACAATCGAGGGCATGAATAGTTACGCAACACTGTACTATTGTTCCTCAGCACCATGAATGTTTCTTCACATCAACTCTAATCTTACAATAGCTATTGCTTGGCTGGCTTCATTCATGTCAAAATTGCCCAGTGTGCAAAGTTATGAACTTGAATCTCTAGGAGTATCGAATGCTAATAAAAAGCGTGATTCATGTTCCCGTTTTGCTGTCATGATTTTCATTGTACCCTAAAGGCAATGCTGTATGGATAAGCACAGCATAGGGGCCGCTTTTATGTATGTGGAAGGCGATAGCGTTTTAAGCTGTACAGAGTAACTCAATGCGTGCAAACTTTTCACCCTTGAGGTGAGAGTGGGCAAACTGTAGGGTGGCAGATCCTCCCAACACGTGATTGGCTCCCGTTTGGTCGAATCTCTTCCTTCCAAACCACAGGCGCGACAGCCAACTGAACAGCAGCATCTGATTCGCTTCCCCGACAAACGAATAGGACCCAAACAACCGGAGACAGTACGGTTCAGCGAGCTTCTATGCGGTGTGAAAAGCGAAACACACAGAAAAATGGATAAGGAAAGAAGCAGCGTGGATGACTTGTGTAGATTCAGACGACGACCCACCGATTTCCTCCACAGATTCTGTGGTAGTTGGATACCTAATTAGCTGCCGAGCAGGTCTAAACTCGGCAATACTGGGCATTTGTCCAGTCTGCTTTTGAGTCATGTTTCCGCGGAAGGGCCATTTGATACTGAGCTGTATCGGCTTGTCCGCTCTCTCACGTCAGGCGGTGTTAGTTACGTGTGTCCCAGTAGTGGCCTCAGTTGCTTCTTCAGTCTCTTCCAGAAGCATCAGCGATCTAATCACCCAAACTTCCATGACGTCAAGCATCACGTGACGCGACTAGGCTCATGACGTCAAGCACGCGCTCCGGGGCGCTGCTGGTCACGAACCAGCCGGTTTCAAGTCTGAACCGTCGTCTGTCGGTGCTAGTACAGTTTGCGCAATTTGTGGTTTTAAATTCGCCATTTATCATGGCGGGAATATCATCAAGCACAATGATTCGCCCCGGCGGAGAAGCCACTGTGCATGCTGCAACACCATCCAGGACCTCAGGTCTTCAGACCCCCACCCACAGGTTCAGTTTCAGATAGTTTCATGCCCCATTTTGTGGCTCCTAGAAATGCTAACAGTCGGTCTTTGGGTTGGCAATCTCGATTCCGCTTCATTTCCTCATGATCTAGCAACAGACTGAGCTAATCAGGCATTCGCGCCGAACACGGAACTCAAATCACCCACTGCATTAACTCGGAACTCGTTAGTAAAGATCCGTGACAGTGGCCTTTGCTTCCCCTCCGCGTGACCCACTGCGTCAGCCATTCAAGATGATGCGCCTCTGCCTCCCCTCCGCGTTCCTGCGCCTCGCGGACGAGCACGATTTGGAGAACCAGGCAGTCCCAGTCACTTCCCCAGAGCGCTTCGTTGACCCCTCCCACTCGCTTCCCTTGAACGACGATCTCTCTTGTCCTCAAGGCGCCAAATTCCCTGGGTTAGCGGCAGCAGCGCCGCTCAAAGACACGCTTTCATCATCAAGAGACGCGTGTGATCTACTGACTGCTGCTGCTGCTGAGCAAAATGCTGCTGAGAGGAATGCTACAGGGTGGGCTGATCGTGCTTCTCTGGAAGCAGGCCGAGCATCTCTGGACGCGCAGCAGGGAATGAGCCGCTTGCCACCACGCCCCGGAGGCAGCGGCCGAGTCTCCCTGGAGGAATCGTGCTGCGGCCGCTCCTACCGCTGCGACAACATGTGCTTCCGAGGCTTGGAGGCGTTTCCGGGAGAGCCCACACGACGATCTGATGCCGCCTCTCCACGCCACTCTGCGCTCAAGAAGCCCCTGGAAAGGAAGCCATCAGGCAGCATTCCGCGGGTCATGAGCGACTTTGATCCGATCTCTTCGCGTCATTCTGACCCGGGTCACATTTGTGGCGAATCTGATCGGTATCGATCCCGGGGAAGGACTTGGGGCTCTGCTCGGGACACTGCTTACAGCCAGTCGGCCAGTTTTGCCAATTTGGGTTCTTTGAGCGCCACAGGCAGTTTCTCGGAAACGCGTGATTCAAATCACCGCTGCGCGTCAGGTTTGAGCCTCGGCACTCGCTTGCAAAGCAGCCACAGGCACTCCTTGGGAGCGGCTCTCTCAGATCTTGCTCTGATTGAGGAGGCCCTGGGTCTCTCACAGCAAGACAGCCTCCATACGGACACCTTGAGGGAGGAGAGCCATTCTGACCCGGGTCACATTCGTGGCGATTCTCTCTGTGGGGGGTGTTCTTGGCGTTCTGCTGAGCTGGCGTGCAGTCCAATGTGGGTGGATAGCGCCAGGTCACGGATTCAGGAGGCTGCACTGGCTGTGGTGGAAGCACAGCAGGCAGCCGCGGAGTTGAGTGCACGGATTGATAAGGCAGAGGGACGTGCGACAATAGGGCTTGCACCAAGGAGCCTACCAGGATTGTCCTCCTCTCCTGTGACCAGGAGGAGCTTTGATGGTGTGGCGAGTATACAGCACCAGACTGTGGAAGTAGGTTCCAGTTCACCCAAAGAAGCCTCATTCCTTGCAGCCAACAGAACAAGAAGTGAAGGGTCGTACATTGGCCAAAAACTAGCGAGGCTGTTTAGCATGACAAAAGCTCAATCAAGTAAGAGTAAAAAGGGTCAGTTTTAAATGAGATATTGGAAAATAAAATCAAAATCAAATATATGTTGCTATTCTCTCAGTGAGCTGTTCTGATATTCTTCCACTACAACAGATGTGGTTATGACTAACAATTCGTCAACCTAGGGTTCTGAAAACTTTGCTGTGTATCAATGATGATATCCACAAGAACCGTGTCCAACCGTGATGCACATACTGAGCAGAAAATGAGCGTGCACATACTAGCCATCCAGTCTCCCTCTCTCACCCGCACAGCTGGCAGGGTAAACCCGAACCGAATGTGAGAATATCGTGACATGGCAGCACAGCCGAATATTGCCCAGCACAGCCGTAAATGACACGTCATACGACAAGTTGACCTGAGTCACCTGACCGAGAAAGTCCTTATTTCCAGGCTGGCGTATCCATGCTTTGTGGCTCCTCCCGCTTTCCCGCCATTTTGCAACCACGCAATTAGCCCTTGTAGAGATATCCCGCAAGGGTGAAGGAGCCAATAACAGCGCTCTTGCGTGCATCCGTATGACCATTGACCAACCTGATTTTGATCCTGCACTCATTGCCCGTCCAAAGTGAATCCTGCTCGCCCCCAAGCTCCCAGCACTCGCTTTTCACACACCAAGCTCTCGAATTTATTCTCTTGGGAACGAGGGTGTGGTGTGTCTGAGGGGGGATCATGATAGGATTCCAGAATAAAATACGTATGGGACGTGTGGTTCGGGAACCGGGGAAGGGGGCCTAATGCCTACTCCCTGTACTGTATACGCGCGTGGGGCTGGTCAGGGAGGTCAGGTGCGACTCTTCGAAACTGTCCTTTCGAGCGCGATTGGTTCATCGGGTCGGTCTCTCAAGAAAAATATCGCGTTGCCAATGGTGCTCTGGGCACGTTCTTGGCACAGCAAAGGCAATGGCGCGTGAACGACGGGGGATTGTGTACAGACAGACAACACTGTATGGTGTGAAAAGGCGTACAGTACCTGGGTGTTATTCCTTAGCCGTTCCGTGAGCAACAGCGGTCAGTGCCTTCACTCCAGTCCTTCGATGCGCGCCGGTTCATCGTCTTTCCAGCTGTCTCCAAGCCATCCCGGCAGTGGCCATGAGGCTGCTGGGCGGGACATGAGTACTTGTCCCAGATTCAGACGTCAACGACAGTGACTCAGCTCTTCAACCCTTAGCTGCTCGTTCTACGATATTAATGTCGTGGTCCGGTGTGTTTCTCGTCCATTCAGTTCGATTCGTAGCTACTGGCACCACCCGTGGTTGTTTCCGTTCATTACCAATGGCGGCGGAATCCTTGTGTGACTCCACCTGGACTATTGGCCGTTCGGGTGCCTTCGAGGCGTCATCGCGCGATTCAGCGAGGTCGTGGGAGCACGACGGTGCGTGGGAGCTGCGTTGCGACTGTGGAGCTCGATCAAGTAGTAGCAACTTGGAATGCGACACTCCAACGGGAGACGACGGCGTCGCAGGTCCGCGACACTCCAGCCTCCCGTTGCACATGTCGTATGCTGACATAAGCCTGCTTTCCCGCCGTTCCGACGACTTGAGCATGCGACAACGGCGGTCGTGTTCTCGTCGCACGTCGTCGTGCAGCGACATCAGCGTCATGTCGCCTGCGTCGTCCGTCTACTCACATGACGACGCGAACCGGACGTTGATGTGCGTGGAATGCTCGAGACTAGACGCTGAGCTGGCATGCGATCCGTCGTGGATTGACAGCGCACGTGCGAGAATCAGCGGGGCGGCATTGGCTGTTGTGGAGGCGCAACAGGCAGCGGAAGAGCTGAGCGCGCGGGTAGACACAGGCGCAACACTCCCCGTGCGCATAGGAACCCCTGTTAACCTCCGCAAGCTTTGCATGGGAGAGGGCCAGGGATCGAATCTCAGAAGTGGTGTTCAGAGGGGGGCAAGAGGGAGGGGTGAGGAGGACGTACGCAACAGTTTGGATGCTGAGAAGTGCACAGCTGTATTTGATAAGATGGTGGAAGAAGAGGAGGAATCTGGAGCTTCAGTGACCAAGCTAAGGGGCCTGGGGCCCGGGTG